GGTAGGGACTGCCACTGCTGTGACATCGCCGGCAGCAGCCTCCCGAGAAACACTAACACGCACGGTGCAATTTGCTACGTTAAAGCGGTGGAGGAAATTGTAGTAGGAAGCCAGAATGGGTTGTGAAGCCACATCACAGAAACATTTATTCTCAGGGGAGGCTGGAGGAGTGGACAGTAGTCCAGGAGTGCTATTACACCGTCCTGCTTTTGGATCTGCTGTGGAGAAAGAACCCACCGCGCTGCAGAGAGCGAACGTTTGGGGCAGGTTAACGTGACTGGGACCTGGAGCAGTCAAAAGGGACAGAAGAAAAGAGAAAGCAAAGGGAAAGCAGGTGTTCAGGGAATAAGGCCTCATGTTGGCAAAGTACTGCTTCCCATCCTGCTGTCAGAGGATTGCTGGCACTTTGTGAATAACTCTCAGAAAACCCTCAAAAAGGCAATGCAATATGTAGATTTGCTCTACAGGAACATGCTCCTCTATTAAAAAGTTTGAAAAACTCCAAAATCATGGTTTATGAACACATTTACAGAGGATTTTTAATCTTCAGCTAATCAATTTGCACCTGAAGCACTGACCAGACTTCTGCAAGCCTGTTAAGCCCGTGTTAGCAGGTGAATCAAATAACTGAAGAAAAGCAGACAAAGCTATGAGCAATCATATCTTAGCATGTTTCAAAAGCCTGTTCTGCCTCTGGCTGACAGCACCCCCACCTCAGCAGAAGTGGATGAGGCAGCTGCTCCCACCACCTGCAGTCCCATCACACAGGTCTGTGCTGCCAAAATACCCAGCAGCACATATTTTAACACGTGATTGCATTTCTGTTGAGTTAATCTGAACACGTGCCACAGTGTCACACCAGATTAATATCGTCCCCCTGCCTGCAGCCATCCCAAAGCTAGTGTGGCAGCAACAGGTGATGCCCAGTCTGCCACAGACCTCACACTTTCCAAAACAGCTGATCAAATCTGAGCCAACAGAGGGACTATGTGGCAGCTCAGAACTTTGTGTCATGTGCTTGTAGCATTTATTATTCAGTATTACATTCTGCGAAATGGGATTTATCGTTTCAAAGTATAATTTGATAGTTTGGTTAAAAAAAATAAAATTCTGAGGGAGGGAAATCAGTGACAGGAGGGTATGTTGTACACTATAGTTTGCTATACAGGCACAAGAGTATCAACTTAAAACTCTAGTTAAATGTGCCACAGAAGAATATGCCCCATCTCTCCAAACCCCTCCTCAAACCACCAGCACAGAATTCACCTGCTTTCCTTCTCATTTCACCACAAAACAACTCTCCGTCCTCGACACCTTCCCACTGTCCTCACTGCCTTTCCAGCTACCTCATATGTAACTTTGCTCACTTGCAAGACACCTTCAACCCCATCTTGCATCTCCGCTCTCTTCCTCACACTCCAAACCACTCTGAGTGCTTGGCTTTGTGACTTCCATCTTCCAGGTTATCATATTGCTCTGTGCCTACCTCACTTAGCATGTGCTATCCCTGGTAACACTGCACTTCACTGAAGCAATTGCTCTTTCTTAAGGTCACATAAACCATCTTTCCCTGGATGTTCCATTTAATGGCTCAGGCCTGCTTCTTCCTAAAGGGAAAGTCAAAGTAGAAGATTAAATGTCTTGCTGTTTCTGTTGAGGCTCAATATAGTCTTTGTAAAGGTATGGAAGATTTTTACTGATATTATAACAGATTAGAAGATGTTAAAACTTTAACTTATATAAAATATAGCATATATAAAACAATTTCAGCATTAATACTTTTTGGAATGAACAAGACTGAAATCTGTTTACAATTCTTAAAAACATTTAAGACTATCTATGCCAAGTTTGGGCCTTCTTTGTACAAGAAAAATATGCTAAATCTAAAGCAATTAATTTCAAACGTCACTTTAATAGAACATATCCTTTTTTGTGTAAGTAATTTTTTTCAGTTTATTTTGAACTAGTCATGCAGCAAGAAACAAACAAATGCTTTCTGGAACGGGAACAACCATACGGCAGTAGCACTGCTCTGACTACTGATGTAACCTATAGCAGGTTCCAATGTAAACAAGCCTCTGAAGCAGAGCCCTGGTGCCATTTTTGCAGGCTGTCCTCTGTTGGTATGAGCACTACTCTTTCCCACAGAAGCATGAAGGAGAAATAAACCATGATGAGACAGTATTTCATTGCAAGTACTGGCCAAAACCCAAGCCTGCCAACATGCAGTTGTATACGATGCATTAACAAAATGGTTTTCTGTGAATAAATGTCATCCTGCCCATCCATTAATGGATAAATATGGTAAAATTGTATAAATTGCAACAAATTAGGCACAACCACCCTTCCCTCTCCCCCATTCACCAGTGCTTTAGAGGACCCTCCTGTAGCACAAGAAACTTTCAGAATGAGATTTTATTAACTTACTTACATCCATCCTTTCCTTGTAGCCAGTCTGCCTTAAAAACCACGAATGTATGCATTTTTGTTTTGTAATATTTGGTAAGTACATAAGAAATTGGCTTAAAATTCTTTAGAGTACTACACACCAACCAGTAAATTCCTATTCCTTACCAGCAGGCAAAGAGGACATTCTGGCAGGTGAGGAGCTCTCAGGCACTAAGGATCTCAAGGGAAAAATTCATAATCCTCCATTCAAGCTGCTTTAAGTGCCCCCAAAGGATCGCCTTTCTCTGCTCTTGAATAAATGTATACCAAACCCAAAGAAACAAGCATTCCAGGTGCATTAATCTGCAGCCCCAGACCTTTCAAATTCTCAGGCAAAAAAAATCATATGTAATGTGTAGCAGCAATACCACCCTAGCTTCTCTACAGCACTGTTCATCAGTCTCTTACAGTGGTTTCTACAGAGGTCAGGCTTATGATCTGCATGGACAAATGGGAAAGCTGAAGCACAGAGTACACACCTGGCTTATCTGCAGTCACCCTGCAAAGCCACAGCAAACCCAAAATCAGTCACAAATCCAATCATTAGTCAAATGCTCTGTTTGTTTTTCTATCTTAGCAATTACACATAAGTAAGAGGTAACAATTTTCATAATAAAATTGAAAGGATATTGACATTCAGGGTCCACTTCTGCTCATACTTCTCCCCACATCTCATAGATACTATAAGCATAGGAGCATTCTGCCAGGCCTTTGTGCCACTAGCCCAGCAAGTGAGAGCAGAGCTATCCCAGTTTAAAAGGAAATCTACTTGGGTATAAATAAAGGCTACCATTAATTCCAAGTCTCCCACAGAGTAATCCACCTATGTATACAATCGTGCATGTACATAAATTGGAACAGAACTTAAAAAATTATGCTCAGACACTCATCTTTGGTACGAAGATGGAAAAACTTCATCTAATAGGATGAACAGATTTTAAACAGCTATAGCATACTGGGAAGTAAAGTTCTGGGAATATCCCTGTTTGATAGCTCAGCACTGGAGGTATTACAATGCAAGGAAGTACCATTCCTAATCCCTTGCTGTCAGCTAAAACCTAAGACATAAAACAGGCCCCATATATATGCTACAATAAATATTCTTGGCCTGAGTGTTAGTCTGACTATTTTGCTTTCAACACGTGTTTAAATTACTCTTATCCTGGTTAAAAGAGTTACTAAAAACATGGGATATCGCCACTAATTTTATGAGTACCTTCCCAATGCTTATCAGCTCATACTGCAACATATCTTCAATGCTCATCAAGACAGGATAAACTACTTCAGGAGAAACCTTACCTGATGAATGCTCCTGCCTCATATGTCGGAAATAAGAGCAGAACATCTCTTTGCTCCTGAAATAGCAGGAGCCATTTCTTCTGGGCACGAACAGATTGCCTTTAGTCCCAGTAAAACGGACTATAAAACTCTTACCGTCTCCCTTTAAACACTAAGGACGTTTTTTTCCTCCTGTTTCATCAGGCAGCAAAAGTAATCATCTCTCTAAGCAGCAACAGCTGACACCTATTTACTGGGTAATTGCTGCAGTTAAAGGGGATTAAGCACAATGAACTCGCTTTCAGTGATAAGGCAAAGCCACCCCCTCCCCTTTGCCGCACTTCCCAGACACACCTGGGAAGAGCTCAGAGGAATGGAGGCCAGCCAGGCCTGCCAATTGGGGGTGCATATGCTGGCTAGAGCCCCTTTGCTGCAGCCAAAAGGAGACGTGTCCCCGCACGATCACAGCAGTACCTGTGCCAGACACAAGGCCAGTGGGTAGCACAGGCGCCGAGAAGCCCCTGAGCCTCTCCATCCCACACGGGCGCGCTGGGCAGGGGCTCGGCAGAGGCTGAGCGAGGGCAGCACCTGCGGCAGCCTCACGGCTCAGCCACCTGCCCTCAAGAGCAGCTGAGATCTGCAAGGTGGGAAATAACAGAGAAATGGCAAAGCAGCAAAACCCGAGCGGAACAAAGCCTACCTAATGGGGCATACATGAAATGCTAACAAGAGGCAGTATAAAAACAAAAGTTAAATCCAACTCACTTTTAACTTAAGAAATGATGCTTACACTGCTAGACCTGACAAGTTCTGTGTCTCTGCAGAAGCATCCCACACACAAAATACACTAGTTGATATATTTGCATGTTTACATCAGGCAAACCAAATAGCAAGATAGCTATTTGGTGTGTCTGGGAAGTTCTTCTCCCACAAGAAGCAGCTTAAGTATTGGTGAGGAAAACAAAGACCAGGAAAGGAAGTGATAGCACATATTTTCCAAGGATCAGGCTATTGGGAAAAAAAAGCAGAAGTTCCCTGTTATCCCTGGTCTGTCAGGGAAATGTCATAAAGGTAATTTTAACAGGTTCTGTCATTCTTTTGTTTTTAATGCTAGTATTCTCCCCTCCTCCCTTTTAGGTATCGTACCACTTAACTTTTTAAACATTACATTTTTAAATGACACAGGAAAAAAAACCTCCTCTGTCAATTGATTCTTATTCCAGAAGTACCAATTTCATATTGTTCAGGAGAATAATGTGACACTCCAAATTTTACACTGTTTAAATGTTATTTTATTAAATATCTTCAGTTCAAGGTTTCATTGTAACAAAGCTATGAAGGTTCTACCAACATTCAGACCAAACAAACAAACACTAGCTAACTTTAATTATTTCTATATCATGCAAAAATTCTGCATCAAATGCCTTCCATTTCCTGTTTAAAATGTGATATTTATAATATATATTATATAGATGCTTACATTAGCCCCATAAGAGAACATTAAGAATGCTAAAGGTGTACAGCTGTGTTTGATAATGGCCATACCAAGCAAAGGTTCTCATTAACTTAAAAGGAAACAAAACAAAAAAAAATATGTAAGAGTTTGTCTCCAAGACTGTGCAAAACCAAAAAAAACCCAACAGTTCTGTTCTTTTAAAATTTTCTCTGAAAGATGCATATACTTAATACAGAGGGTTCTCTTTTTTAACTATTAATAATTATCAGGTAAAGAGACAAGGAAGATCAGACCGAAAGAAGGCATGCATAATGTTTCGTATTTATCTTTTTAAAGTGGCATAACTGTAATCTGTTTGCTTTCTTTGTGGCTTAAAAAATTTTCTGAATGAAATATCAAGACTTTTTACTTTTCCGCTTCAGACACTGTCTTAGAAATGTTTTGAAATAATAAAATCTAGTGTTTGCCTCCCCATGGGTTCAATCCCCTCCTCACTCCTCTGCTGGGATAGCAGAGGGAGGAAGAAAAGGGTGTTTGCTCAAATAAACCTGGGAAGTGTGGATGGTCTTTTCCTTCATCAGTGGTTAGCTGATCTAACCCTGGTGTGGGATAGCACCTCTCCAATAAAGGGAGCAGAGCGCTATCTGCTGCAAAGTGACAGCTCCGCTTTGTGCAACAGCTTTTATTTTCTGCATTTTATTGAATAAGGATTAAAATTCCAAATTCTCTTTCTTCTCTTCTATAGTCTGCTAAAAGATTGCCACACACTTAGTATGCTGTCACGGAAATAATTTTAACTCTCTCCAAAGATCCAAAAAATTCTTAGGGGTAGATAAATTCAGCTAGAAGTCCATTCCAACTTCTGCAAGTGATGCCTTCCCTTGGTCAAGACAAATCCCATCAGGCCTGCCAGAAAGGCCATTTTCTTCTTGGGGCTAGGCTCCCTCCTTGGTAAGGTCAACAAAACACTTCCATATCTCCCACCCAATGAATAAAGGAACTGAACTCCTTTTGCAGCAAAGAAAAGAAAGGAAGATGAATTGGCCCAAAGGATGAACATCAGATCACGTGTTCATTCCCCTTCCCCGCTGCTTCACCAGGTATCCTCTAACACCCAGAGGCAACACGGGGTGGGGGGTGGCCTGGATTCCTTCAGCTACAGCTTTTGAGGTTCTGATCTGATAGTTTTCTGTGTTACAACATCACTGTAAAAAATAGAAAAATTACCCAAATAAACACTAGGAAACATGACACTTACAAACATCAGATGGGTTAGTGGTGGGGAGAAGCACCTGGCTGGGGCTGCTGGCTCCCACTGCTATTGTACTGGAGACCAACAAATCATACAGGAGGCCAGGTAACCCCTTTAATTCTACGGGTGCATATATTTCAGTATAAAAAACACACGCTATTTATGCCTCATATAGGAGTGTATGTGCAAGTTTTCATGAAGAACATAACACTACGTTTTTTGTCTGCTTCCTAAGGAACATGTGTTCTGCAGCACTGTGGATCCCAACTATGCTACTAAAAAGAAAAAAAATAGAAAATCCCATACAAATACCCTCTTCCTCTAAAATCTCTGCTCTTAATGAAATGTTTTTTTATTTTGTTAAATTAAATAAGCTGGCTTCAAAACTCCATGTTTGTCCAGGTAGTGGCTGTTTCTAAAATCAGTATCACTAAAGAGCGAGCTTCTGTTCAAGTTAATTAATTGGGTTAATAATGGGTTACTTAAACCCATTTTTAAATCCCTACTTCCATCTTTAGTTTTAAATCAACATTCCATTTTGATTTATTTCTTAAAAAAAAAAAAAAAAAAAACAAGAAAAAAAAAGGAAAAAAAAGAGAAAAGTCTGTTTTGGGATCCAGCAGCTGAGCAACCAGGTCTCCATAGCGTTCTTGCTGTGCAGAAATCGAAGAAGAAACAGGCTGAAGTCAGACTGCTGGGCAACAGGAAGAGAAGCACCTCCTCTCTCTTGAACCCCAGTCTTCACACTGGCTCCTCTGGGGTCTCCTTTCCACCTCTCACCGACTGTAGCTGCAGCACAGCCCGAATGTGGTATTAGCTTCCACCATCGCTTTGTGGAGCACAGTTCAGCCATCCTCTGTTTAAGCCGCCTCCTTTCTTGCTCTCCCTCTCTTCCTTCTCTCCTTCACTTTTGCTTTCCCCCTCACTTCATTTCTGAAAGATGTTCTGGCTGCTGCCACTTTCTTAGCCCTGGGGGAGGGGGCATGTTGGATAATCTGTCATTTATTTAGCATTATTCCTGTTTTTTTATTATTTTATACAAACAACATGTCTTTTTTTTTAGATTTAAAAACACCTTCGTACAGCAGAAACAGACACGATGGATCCATGGAAAACAACAGAAAGGCAGTGCCCGGAGCATCAGATGCATGCAGGGTTTCGTGCATTTGGCTGCTGCCTGTTTTTAATTTGTATTTATTTTTAATGTCAAAACAGACATGACCGTTGCTGTCACTCAGGCACTCCAGAGCTGCTTGCTAAGAAGATATTGCCCTCCAGCTGAGTATCTCCACAAGTTGCTGCAGTCAGGAAGAGGTAGTGTCCACCCAGAAAGGAGGGGAGAACAGGATGGAAGATGGAAGGAAATAAAGGCATACATTAGCTGTACACAATTAACAAAACATGTTTTCTACAGGTTAATTATTTAGTGTAGGTAAAAACTCCTAACACAACACAAACTGGGGCTTATGAGGAGACCTCTGAAGGTAAGAGGCACTCACTTCCCCTCCCAGGTGGCTGAGAGTGCCAGTGAAAATTAAATAATTGCTAATATGTATTATGTGCTGCTTTGGAGCAGCCCTGAGCCTCTCACAGCCATGACCCAGAAGCTGAAGAAGTTTCCTAAGGAGTGCTCAAAGGCTCTGGTGCTAAGGAACATTTTCTTCCTCACTTTCTATTGGCTTTTGCCTTGAACTGAAAAATAATTATATTTTTCTTAGGGTTTTTATTTTTCAAATCTTCAGTAATTTTGCCTCTGAACTTAATATTTAAACAAATGTATGAGCTTCTCTGCAGTTTTGTGAAATTGTAGCCCTAGTGACTGCTTTCAGCAAAGGCCCTTCCTAGTTAACCCTCATGCGCCAAATTACTGGATTTATTCTGATCAGTTTTAAGTCTGGTTTTTTTTCATGTCTGTTTAGCATTATTCTATCATGAAAGTATAGCCAAACCCTTCTTTCTACCATTTCTCAGTTTGCAAATCTTTGCAGAATCTCCCTTATAAGTCTTCTCCCTTCCTGGTTCCCACTCTCTCCTTACACGGAAGTCCTCTGATTAACATCAAACTTCTTTTCTGGCTGCAGTTTCCTTTTGAGATGATTACCCAGAACCGAACTGTGCCTTCCAGGTGAGAAGAAACCACTAATTTCTATTTAAGCATTCTTACTCACCTCATTCTTTCTTCATCCTTAGCTTTCACTGCACATGGGATAACACTACTCCAAAATGATTCAGTGCATTCAGATGGGGGCTGCCCACACTGACCCCATTTGTAATTGCTTGTGGGTATACCTCCTTCAGAGCCCAGAAATGCATGCAAATACTTCAACTTCTATTAGTTTACAGGGTATTTTTAAATATTGTTTTAACCAACATTTTGTGGTTTGGAAATACCTTCTGCTCTGCAGTTTTCAGAAACCCTTCAGCACATACTTTTGGAGGGCTTCAGCATTTCTACAGCCAAGAAACATACCTCTTCTGCAGCAGACTTTCCATTCCTAAATTTCCTCAGAAGTCCTAGGCATAGCCACTGAGCCATACTGATCTTTAATTTAATAATTTCTTCTGCATCTTTTTTTGGACAGATGTCTCTCTTTACATTTCTGTGATGAAATCTGATACAAGTTGGTTTTTTTTTTGTTTGTTTTCCTGCGAAGGATTTTTCCTTCTCACTGCTGTACTCCCTGGAAATTCAGCTGATTTTTCAGCTCCCTTGAAAGCTTCCCTGCTTCTGGTGCCCCCAACTGGCTTCTGCTTTTCAAATTCCATCTGTGACCTCTGCAGCTTGCTTGTGATAGTTGACATTCCTTCCCATTGCCTTCAGCAGGGTTGAATACCTCACAACACACGAATACAAACTGCTCTTGGCTTAGTACCAAATTGTTCACAGAACTAGGACTCAAGCAGCAACTATACTTGAGTGGTTCATCCTTAAATGACCACATTAAAAAAAGGCTGCCTCCCAGCTGGAAATATTTGTTGTGTTTGCCCTTAAAGAGAAAATACTTAGTAAAAAGGTCCTAAAACTAGGAAACTTTGGGCTATAAAATGAATGTAACATATATTTCAGCATAAAACAAAAGGATGCAGAGACTTTGTACCTCTAATTAAAAGAGAGCATTAAGGCAATAAACAAGAATGCCTTAATGCTGAAGAAGTAATTGGATCTGATGTCCTTCAGGAGCAAGCAACAATCATTTCGTCATGACATATTTTAGAACCAAAGTTTCTTCCAATTATGAATTGTGGCAAGTTAATTGGGGGATATTTTAAATCCTGTGATATTACCGTTTAGATTCTTTTCTCCTCTGAGTTTTCTCAACATGGTACATTAAATACCTTTTCCTTATCAGAAAATCAGTAGTATAATTTATATGAATAAACCCTTACCCCTTATGACACAGAAATTGTTCTTATGGATTCTACAATATCCTTTCTAGAAGATGACATAATCATCAAAAAAGTCCTCTGAAATGACCCCCAGCATGGAAAGGTAGATGTGAAAGGGCCAACCTGTGCACAGCATGAGATACTCTTCCTCCCTGCTCCAGATTAGCCATTTGTCCAAGCACAGACCTGAGCACGTGGGAGGAAGCACAGCTGCTGCAAGGGTACCTATGCCCAGGAACAGCTGTCTGGCACATGACTCTCGTTTGTCAGGAGTGGCAGATAACCCTACTGAGTCCAGAGGACAGGACTTAAAGGAACACCATCTACAAGCCAAAGTTTTCAGCCCTACAGACAACTAAACGTGGTTCTCTCACAGCCAGCTAAACAGCCTTGAATGCTGAATTCCCACATACAGCAGCCTCAGCTGCGTGTGTGATGTACTGCTTCCCTGAGAGTCCATACCCGTATTTGATCCTCACTGGAGAGGTGCTGCAGGAGCTCCAGAGCAGTGGTAGTGGACATTGAGCCACTTGCCATCTCGGCGGTGCCAGACACGGGTCTCCTCCGACTGCGTGGTGCGGGGCCGGCCTTGGCCGTCGATGTACTGCGTCAGGCGGATGTACGCGATGCAGGCGGCGTCCTCCCCGATGACGTGGACGTGGGGGTTCAGGATGGTCGTGTGGATTGGCTTGCTGTTCTTCGACAGTACTGCCAGGACATGCGAAACCATCAGGTTCATTTTACAACTAAGAAGGAACAGCGTCCCACATTTTCCAACCTCTTCTATGTTCTACTCACCTTTTACTGGATTCTGGAATACCACAAAAATTGGTCCTGCCATTTTTCAGGCAAAATCCAAGCAATTCTTACCCCTACCACCTGTTGTTCTCCTTAGGAACTGCACACTTACTGCCAGGAATCCCCTGGCCCCTTTGCCCCCACTTCCTCTGTAGCTGTGTCTTCAGTTATAGGGAAAGATCTTTCACTTACAGAATATCGTTGCAAAGGAGTCAGTAATCAGGAGACCTTTAAGCTAGGACAGCATTAAATATGAACAAACCTTAGAGAAGTGTTAAAATCCCTCCATCAATAGGCTATTGAGAGAGACAAAGTCCCTGCATACTTAGAGAACTACATATTGCCCATACTAAGGACCTTGGCCTAACCCTCAAAATGAAACAGATTGAACAGCTCAGGATTTAAATTTCAATTATCTCATCCTGTGGAGACATCCAGGAAGGGAGACAAATCCCATAGTACAAATGATAGCATTTCTCCCAACTCTCTCCTGCCCCAGGCTGACAAGGTGACTCTTGTCTATGTAAAAGGTTCATTAGGTGTTAGAGAGCTGAAACCATCCAGGGAAAACTCAAAGCGAAAGTATCTTTATGCCTGACCATTCAGTATGTCTACCCCAAACAAACATGTTGCTTCCAGCAAAATCTGATAATTTTTTTCTATTTTCATATCAGTAAGAAGTCCAATGAGTCAAACTTTTAAAGCTCCTGCAGTCCATGCCAGGTACAAAACATTTCCACCTGGCAGATTGTATGCCTAGAGTGAAGGGATGTGGGGGTTAGAATTGAAATTGTTGCTGAACAGGCTTTTTGACAGAAAGGCTGCTGGCTTTTATGAATGCGTCATAACCCAAGCACAATCAAGTCCCTGCTTATTCTGATAACCAGTAAAAACAAGGCAAATTTTCCTCCCGAAACGTGACATAAAGGAAGAGTAGAGAGAAAGGTGTTGGAGTTACCAAATCTACCCACTCACAGTTTTCAAAGTAAAACTTATGGAAATCCATTCCTTCAACCAGGTTCCCCAGTGCTTCAGGTTCAAACGAGGTCAAGCCAGGATCACAGATTTTTCTACAAAGAAAAGCAGCACAGGTTTACAGTTTGCATCTGAGCCCAAGAGCTATTCACACAGTGAAGTGCTGGTATGCCATTCAACTCACACCCTGTGTCCACCTAACTACATCTCCCTACCCCAAGAAGTAAGTTCCTGAAAACTCAACCCTACTGTAACTCAAGAAGCCAACTAGATGGCATTTCACATAAAATAAATTTCTAGTTTACTGACTTTCCTTTTATTCTCTTTCTGCACTTCTCATTGGCCTCCCCTGTACTTTTACAAACCTAGGACATTTTCCTATTGTTGCTCCTGTTGCTGTTTGCTGCCTGACTTGATATTCATTTAGAGCTCTACTACTCCATCCCTTACTCCTAACTGATGTAGGCTAAGAAGGATAAAACCTTTTACCATCCCTGACTGCGTGACAGCTCCTCATACCCAGGAGCCAGAGCATCATTTGCACACAAACTGATAAACAACCTGTCAGAAAGCATCTCTACTTACGTATAAGCCTCAAAATCTCCATTGTTGATGGCCTCTATCAGCTGCTCTGTTATCTTAATGATCTCTTGCTTACGCACTGTGAACAAGAAGAAAGAGCAATTTAGCTGTGCTGAAGAGTTCAGTAGAAATATGAGGTGAGTGGGTGCTTCCTACAAGCAATTTGTAGAGCACCATTAGTCTAGATCTTATAGGATGCTGCTCCCTGCATTCTGGAGATATGCAGTTAAGACAGTCATCCACATGAAAATAGGGGGGCAGTGGTATGAAAGGGAAATGGTGATCCCATAATGTAGGGAGAAAGGAAATAAGAGACCATATTAATTTTTTTACTTCTAGAAAGGTCTAAGGCACCAGAGGTGTCTCCTGAATGACAGCCAGAGCTGATTCTGGGGAGTCTGACCCATGAATGCCAATGGCCCTGCCCATGTGAAGTAGTTGTCCGGCAGCTTAAGATGTGGAAAACCTTCACCACAGTAGCCATATACAAATGGCCACCACAGATCAAGCCAACTGGAAAGAGTCTCCCAACAACTCGCCTATCGCCATCATCAACACCTCAGCTATTGTGAATGCTGCAAACAAACAACTGGGACATGTAGGGATGGCTTCTGCAAGCTAGAAAGATGACGGCAGCAGGATGGATGGGTTGGATGAGCAGGTCCTAGCTATGTCTGAGAGCGCACACTGCTCCTCAGGCAGTTAGCTTCTGCCAATCCCTATGGCACAATTCTTTACAGCTCTGACAGCATTGCCATTAAGCCAGCCCAGCACACTGGACTTCAAGATGAATGAAGACAAGGGCTGTCTGTGTACTGTTGTTTGGCCCCAGCTGGCCAGCACCTCTGCACTCTCTTCTCTTGGTTCCCCTCAGCAGATTGTCCAGGCCCCATCCCCTCTGCAGTGTTCCACCATCCATTCTGGTCTCAAGAATTAATAACATTTACAGAGTTTCAATTAGGTCTGTTAAACAACACAGTTCTATTCTATGACTATTATGTGTACCATACCTATGCCTGAGCCTATATGCACAACCTCACATCTCTTCAGCCTTCCTCACACCCGCAGGTAGACACCTCTGCACATTATACAGGCATTTAAGAGGTTCTTTAGCATTCTTTTCAATGCTTTCAGATAATACACAATTCATACACTAGAAGTGCCATTCTTGTGCCCTTCAGCATTTAAAATATTGGTGTCTGAAATTAAACTAGTCCCCTGACTGTTCTCCCTTTGGGCCCTGAAAAATTTGGGACTTCTGGAAAGTCTCACGTAGGCATCTTAGATGCCTATCATTAGGGGGATGGAGTTTAAATCCAACCTATTACCTTTAGATGTTCAAGTCAGGAAAGCTGAATTCCCTTCTAAATGCCAGAAGATGCTATTCTGAATTGCTCTCCCCCTTGCCCATGCACCTCATCCCACCATTGGTAAGTGCAGTCAAAGAGCAACAAGATAATAATCTAACTGGCTATGAAAGATGTCCATACCCACTCTGGAAATCAGTTAAGAGAATTTTACTACTGAGCCACCCTCAGAAACCCCTCAGATAGGGGACATCTGGGTCATAATAATAAGGTGGCTGGTTTTACTATGCAGGCTGTATACACTTCCACATGTGAAAAGATGTACACAGGGAATGGGTCAAAACAATACAGTGGGCTATGCCTGTTGTGAAAAAATGTCCTTACAAGCAAATTGTCTGGGATTACTTTACATGAAGAAGGGCTACTTGTTGGACCCCCAAACCATGCACCACCAACGTCCAGAAGATGGAGTGCATGGGAAAGGCGGCATTTAGGGATGAGTGAGGGAGTCTGCAGGCCACAGTCAGGGTGTGCTGGCTCATCTTAAGGAAATTTGCATCCCCTTCCAAGACACGGTGATGCAGTGCCATCAGGCCTGTCCTTCAACACTAGTCCATCCCATCAGACCGTGCTCGTCTCCTGGCTTTCACTACGTGTCCCGAGCTAGAAGCGGCACACGGGAGGTGACCACTCTGTCCGAAGGACAGAGAGCCTCGGGATGTCCAGGGGGATGGCACTCCCGATGAATCCGCGGGTCCTCCAAACTGGCACGGCAGAGGCACAGGCGGGAGGCGACATGCATCAGCACGGTCATCGAGCTTGGCCCGCGGCCGCTCCACCCTGCTTTGTGCGAGCCCAGGGGGCAGCCCCGCCACAGCAGCTACGCGGCCGGCCGGGTAGCGCTGCGGGCGCGTTCAGCGAGCGCCGTTCGGGGCCGGGGCAGAGCTGGGGCCGGGCTCTGTCTTCCCCGCGGGGCGAGGCGGGGCGGCGGCCGCGGGCGGGACGGGCTGAGGGCGGCCCCGCTCCCCGCCCCTGCGGGTGGCTTCCCCCGGCGGCCGCCGCCGCTCCCCGCACGGGCGCGCCCCCGCCGGCAGCGATGGCGCCAGCTCGGAGCGCCCGGCACCGGCCCCGGCCCGGCTCGGACGGACGGGGTGAGGAGGGGCAGGGGAGGAGAGAGGAGGGAACTTTCCATCTAGGGTAACTAGCATGAGTTGCACTACTCCACTACTGCTACCCAGCTGCTAACTTACACGGTGCTCGGTTAAGTACAAAGGGAACTACTGGAGTTAGCAAAGGCTCCGACCGAGCACGCTCTAACTCCAATGTCTGCCCTGGGCTGTCCCAGGCATGGAGCTTCTCTTCACAAGACTGTGTAGCTGCAAAACAAATGTAAGCGTTAAAATAATAAACAGACAAAAAACAGAAAGTAAAATAAAAACCAACAAAGAAGTACAGACACACAGAGCCCCGGCCCCAGTCAGCACAGAGACACATCCACATCCCAATGACTTCTACCTGCTCTCCTGCCTCTGTCACATCACTTGGGCCAGACACTGCTTGGCAGGGGCCACCCGGGCACTGGTGCAAAAAGCACAGCAGGAATTGCACCAATGCTGGAGGAAGTTTGAGGGCGACCTAGAACAGTGGTCGGAGTAGTGACAGAGCAGCACAAGGGCAAGTACAAGATGGGGTTAAAGAAAGTAGGGATATCCAAATCACTGCACATCTCAACTTGGAGGGAAGTGAAGTAGGAGAACACTGACCCACTTGGCAGAGAAGTGATTCAGCACTCCTCACTGTACCAAGCAGGGCCTTGCTATGAGCAAGAGGAAGGAATTAATAAGAGAGCAGTGATGAACAGCTCACAGCAAAAGGACTTCTGAAGAGATCATTTCCCTTCCATTCTGTCTAGGCAAAACACCTTTTCCATTGCACCTTACAAACCAGCACTCTGAAATCTTTTGAGCTAGCTCATACTTTGAGCTACTAACAGAGACGCTCCAACTGCTGCATCATAAGATACTGGTGCTGTGTGTAGAAAACCAGGGAAAAACGACAGGAAGAGACAGAAAAGGACACGCCTGGTTCTTCCTTCCTAGACTGACCTGAACAGAATCAAATATTCCAGATGTTCTCAGCTCACACTAAAGAACCTTCTACAATTACTTTAAAGTCAGGCAGCTAGTACAGTATGTCTGTGTAGGAGACAGGCTGTGAATTCCACCTAGATTTTCTTCAACCTAATAGCTTTTTTCATATGCATTTTTCAGAGTTTTTTCACTCACAGGCTCCTCTACAGAGCTAGCAAGTTCAGGAGACATCAGGCAGCACTTACCATAACTCACAGACTAACCATAGTATCAGCTAACTGAGCTAAAGACAAACACACAAGGTAAAGCTCATGACACACAAATGCTCTTCAGGGCCAACATTATCCCAGGATTTTCACTCAAAGCACCTGATAATGGATTCAAAAATGCTTTGGGGTCTTTCAGGAGCCACAGCCTCCCTTTCAAAGCACCTTAAAGTAATCTGAAAAAACTGGGTTTTGTTCCTTTGGTACTTCTGAGCACCATCCAAGTCAGAAGTCCTCAGAAGTTCTGAGAAGTGAGACTGAATTCAGTCTCATGCACCCCCTCCATAAGCACATAAGCAGACCTACACCACTGACCCCATTCACCACAAAGAAAACTAAAAGATGCAGTGACATGCCCAAGGAAACCCCAAAAGGCAGTGTCTCTGCAGAGAACTCTACATCTCACCCAGATGAAAGCAAGGGAATGAAATTAGCTAGGATGAGATTCTGGTTTTTGGTTTGTTTGTTTTTGTTGTTTTTTTTTTTTCAGAAAGGGAAGGAAATGTTTGGAAAATTTCAGTGTGCAAAGGAGGGTATTTTGCAGGAAGGGAGATGATTTCTTTGTATTCTGGAACACTGGAAATGGAAAATCAACATTTTGGAAGGAAGTTGAGGAAAGGAAAAATCTTAGGTAAGGAGAAATGGGAAGGGTGGAGGAAGGGGTGAGAAAAAGATGCTGTGAAGCACTGCACCCCTGGACTTACTGGCTGAGAAACAGAGAGAAAGCTGGGACTGCATGGACTCAGTCTGTGTTTTGCTCTCACTGTGCCTCCGTCCTTCAAGCACTGAGCTGCCGTCCCCGGTGGAGAGAGGGGGAGCTAGCATGGCAGGGAATTAAAACACAAACACAAACAAAACACGCAAGTTCAGTAAATAAAAAAAGAGAAAGTAAATAGGAGAACATTAAAGAAACCACAATGCTGGGCACAAAACATGCAGGAGTATCCTCCAGGGCAAAGCCAAGTAGACAGCTCGACAACATGAACCTGCTGCGCAATTTAGAATGACACAAGGGCAGGGGGGTGGAGGAAGAACAACGACACACACTGCCTTTAGCCCCACCACAGTGGAAACAACATATCCCTGAGGCAACTGTCAGTGATGGATAAAGATAACATCGCCTACAGCACAGCAGAACTGATCTGTGTATCCTGGTGTCTATTTAAAACAAGAAGCTGGCAGAGGAACTGCACAAGCACTTCCCTCTTCCGAGAGTCATGGCTATGCAGATCACTGAGAACTTCAACACTCCCAAACCTTTTGGTCTACTTAGTGTTGCTCAAGTGCTTGCTTATCTTGAAATGGGGAAGGGCAGGAATGGAAAAAGAACACTGATGAACACAGCTACTCTTAAAACTAGAGGACTAAAATTACCAGAGCTGGCCACAGCACAAACCACTACTGTGCAATCTCTTTCCGTCCCAATCACCATTCAAATGCTCCCTTCTATTAAAGTTATAACAAAATTTTCTAACCTCTGCCAAAAAAAAAACCAAACCACAGTTTTGATCTGTAGCAATGTAGCCCTATACAACTCTGTACACTGACCAGCTGCCTTCCTTCCTACCCCACCTTCTGTTCCAGTCCTACACTTCTTTTCCTTGCAGCATTTGTATTCCTAACTTACAACACCTGTTGGCTCGGCTAGCTCAACCATGGAACCTCTCTCCAGAATATAAAGTGCCACAGGAGACAAGGTTCTGGACAAATACCTGTTCTGAATGGCTATCCAGAAGAGATGATAAATCAAATTTATTACTGCACTATGAAACCCACCCAGTTCCCGACACTCAAAGCTAGTTCTTAAACCACAGTTTACTCTTTGGCAAAAAGGTGGGAGCTAGAATACTGTCCTGTAATGAGGCCAGGTCTCATCTGAAACAATCTGTATTGCAGAACTCATTCACTCACTGGCATGTGTTTCTGCTCCCTGTGATTCCTCAGAAGAGGAACCAGCAGCTTGTGACAAGCCATGAGAAAAGCATCAGGAATTACCCCACTGACAGAGGTGACACTGCTGCTACATCACAGGGTCAGCACTGATTTTTCCCTGGATATGTGACTCAGATGAACTACAAGGAGAATGAGAATACCTCTGCCTCAAAATGCAAGTTATTAACATATTTGTCTCAGAATGCAAACTACCTTCACCCATCTCAAACTTGTTGATTCAGGAAAATGTCTGCTCATCCTTCTTTAGGGAGGTTAGGCAAAAGATAGCTACTCAAACACCATGAGCAGATATGGAACTTGGAGCTACTTCATTTAAAGAGTTTTATAAGCACAGGATATTTATTGTATAGTACTGAAAGGCATAAAATTTCTTCTCAGCCTCTCCCTCTACTGATACAGTCAAGGACAACAGGCTGAGAATGATCTTCATCTTAAAAAGAAAAATAGACCCAAAGAGAAAAAATAACATGGGAAGTCTTTGCATGTCAAAAAAGATACTCCCAGAAAGAGGTGAAAAGGGAGTCTGAGTACCAACAGAGACATTTCAACTCTCTGTAATCTACAGGGAAGCAGAAAAACACAAGCAGAGTTCAAACCTCAAGGGACTGGTAGGGATTTTCCACACCTAGAAATGGACTGAAGATGAACAGATCATGATATATGCAAGAAAAGAATTCCAGCTCTGAGACAAAAACAAATTAGCTCAGTGTTTACATATCACAGAGGCCAAGTCAGACGGTTCCCCAATGCATGGTCCCACTGTGACAGGAATGACAGCGTCATGGCAAATTTATGAACTGAGTCAGACACAAATCTGGGAAGCTAGTTCAAGGCAATGACTGAATCTCTAGAATCCCTTGCCTACACTTAGCTGTAGTAGAAATTACAAGCAAAATACCTACCTTTCAGATCCTCATCTTCAGTTGTGGTGTTACAGCTCTCTGTGGAACCCTGCACGGCAGAACAGAACATTACCAGGCATCAGCAGTCAGGAGAATGAGCAAATAGTTTGATTTCTTTGTGAAGAAAGATGGGGAAAAGCACAAATCGTTGGCAGGGATGGAAGGGAGAGGATGTTACAAGGAAGATTTGAATGTAAGCAGGCCAAATACAAAGCATAACGTAACAGCATCTCTGCTCAGCTTTTGCATGTTCGAGCTCTTAACCCAGACTTTTACAAGTGTGGAAGTTACCAAACTCTGTCAAATTAAATCTAATGGGAGTTGCTTCTGTTTGGAAGAATAGCCACAAGAAGCTAAAGAAGGGCTCCTAGGCTTTCTCAGAGGAAGTGTCCATTTGCAGGAAAAAAAGAAAAATTGCCTAAGTGCCTATATCTCCTCTTCCATCACACGTATGAAAGACAGTGGTGGTTATACACCACAATAGGAAAGATGTGTTGCTATCTGAACAGTTGTCTTTACTCAACCTCTTTCAGAGATCCACAGCCATATAACACAACCCTCCTAGTCTATTGTCAGCAGTATTCAGGAGCATGCTACAAACCAGACATTGGAAAGGTAGAAACTGAATTAAGACATGAAGACAAGAACAAGAGAGAAGCAGAGGTTTTTCTGACAACACTCCCATCCCTTACCTTTATGCCATCTGTAGCATTATGGACAACAGTTGTTTGAGGCTCCTAGGAAAGGATGGAAGAATCATTAAACTCTAGTTCCAAAGCATTCTCTAATTTACTTTCACTCCCCAGCAAGTGGAGAAAAGGTGACTGACAAGTCAAATCAAATCACAAACTCCAAACAGCACACGTGTGCCTGCGTGCGTGTGCACACACTTCCTGCACAGGTTTCATTAAGAGAGAGGCTGCACTAAAAGCTAGTCACAAGGAGACAAAGCCCCCAGCTTCCCTGCAACTGCCCCTAATTCCCAATTCGCTTCCAGTGAACCAGGCTGGCACAGACACCAGGGGGCAACCAAGCAGCCAGTCTGCACCCTCTGCAGCCGTTCATGAGGTAATGACCCCTCAGCAGCATCTTCACTGGAAAATGCTTCAGAAGAGGAGAGGGGGAAGAAAGGATAATACTGGGCTGGGGCCTTTGTCTCCCAGTTTTTTGCAAGGGTTTCTGAGTATTTTACCCTAAAAAAGGGACATTCATAATTTCCATAATAAAAATGGGATGAGCCAGACCACCTCAATGCCTCAGAGGAGTTGCTAAGGAACTGTGAAAAAAGGCACATTTTTCTAAAAGTCTCTGAAATGAGCTCAAATTTCAATAATAGCCATATTTAATAATTTAGAAAGGCTCTCTCAATATCAAAAGCATAATGAAAAAGCTAGTGAAAGGAAAGCAGAAAATTATGAAGTGTCCCAAGAATCCTTTATTCTACAACAAAAAAAAACTCCAACACCAAATCCCACCCTCCCATGCCCCAAAAATGCCAAATCCAACTCTCCAGAGACAGACAACAAAGAGCAGCTACTAGGCCTATGGGTGCTAACTAGCTCCTGCACTCATCCCTTCATTAACAGGACAAGACTTCAGGATCTTGCACCATCTCCTCCCACTGCTGTTGTTCCTGCTGGGTGGCTCAGCAAAGGCATCAGGGACAGTGCTGGGCAGTGCTGTACACTCACCCATCTGCCTCTGCCACCCGCTGCACTGCTGCCTGATCTTCCATGGGTACTGAGGCAGGCCACACACCCAAGCTGTGCCATTCAATGTACTTGGCACTGGCACTGTACTGGCACTGCAGAGCCTGCACACAGGCCAAACAGAAAGTGCCAGCCCAGCAAGTCAGTGAGCTGCAGGAGATCAGCCACTCAACTGAGCAGGTCAAATAGGCCAGCAAAGGATTCTTCTAAAAACCCTTTGTCTGCCCTTTCTTCTCTGGTGTCCTGAAGTCCATCCTCCATTTCCTGAATGTTGGAGAGTGGATGGAGCTTGACACTCTGTTCTTCAAAACCATCCTCCCCAAAGCCAGCAGGAACAGTTGAACGAGACACACAGAACTATACAGGGGGGGCACACGGGGAAGTCCAGGCAAGCTGCGATCCCCACATCCAACCACAGCTCTGCTCAGCACCCCCATCCCAAAGCCTGTGAGGCTGTGATCAAGCCCCACAGTAGCACAGGGACACAGACAGAACGAAGCCAAAACATAAGCTGAAACAGAGTGGCACAAGCAGCACTCGGGAAGGGGTTTGGGAGGAGAAGGGGAGAGGACAGAATCAAAATTAAACCAAACAGGGAAAAAAAATAGTGGTTGGGGAAGATACCATGGACGTCTGCACTGGGGGTGTTTCTTTTGCAGTGCTTACTATACTGGTTTTGTTGTTGCTCTGTGGCTGAGACAGAAAAACATGGTTTTAGTTCCCATGCTGGGCAGCAGAGGCAGCAAGAAAATGACAGTATTGCTTCAACCCCAACCATCTCCTCAGACCCTCCCCTCCCCACAAGCTCAGTCACCAAGAAGAGAGAGGAAGGAGGAGTGCTGCCCCAGTTGAACATCATCCTTCCCCCAGAGGCAATAGAAGTTGTACAGGATGTACCAAAATTCAAATGCGAATGGACTGCTAGAGCTATAAGGAAGGAAAACAGAAGGCAAAAAGGCAGCAGCCCAAAGGGGTGGGGAGAATCCTGCAATGAGCACTAACAAAAAATACCTGGTGAAGGAAAATGAGACACGGCAGCTGTCCTGAGAGAAAGAGACTACAGAAGTGAGAGACACACAGTAGTCATGGTCTCAAACGGGGCACAAATGGGAGTCAAGTCTGAGGTGTCCCAAAGTGCACAGAAACAGTTCTAGGTATGTGATAATGCTGAGAGTTCCAGGGAATCTATTGAGCCAAGTAAAAATGTGGTCAGCTCTAGAAAAGGTAGAGAAAAGGTAATGTATGATATGTTGTATCCCTGCTGTAACCTGAACAAAGAGACTTCAGGACCAAAATATTGAAAGGAATGGGACTGGGACATAAGGAAAAGGCCATATAGTTCCACAAGTAGGAAGGTCTCTGGATGGTGCTCAGCAGGTTTTCATCTTTCCCCTCTTCAGACTCTCTTGTAGCTGTGGCAGAAGAATAAAATCTCCATATTCTGCATTCATACAGCACAACAGTGAGGCCATCACCAGCTTGCTGAAAAGAATAATCCCATTGAGTCATGTATGTCAGGAATGAACCAAGTCTATGTTTGTAGGAAGCCAAACCTATCCATAAGCACAGGGTTCCTAGCCCACACATCCAGCCCATTTGTGATCCCCACACCAGGCTATGTCTCTTTTGCTGCTAGACACCAGCAGCAAGGTCAAAATTGTCTCTGCAGGAGCCTCGCTCACACTCCTGCGTTTACAGATCAGGGCCCCGATGGGAGCTCACAGTAGTGTGCCCTCGAGTGGCTCTCAATCCCACTCAGGGAGTGCAAACTCATACTGCAAAACATCAGGCCCTAATCACCACACCACAATCACCACAAAGAAGAGAGAACTCAAATGCTAAGATGGAAAACATCTGCCAAAGGTATAATTATGTCAACCAGTGAAAGATCTTATGAGACCAAGACTTAAAAAACATCTATTAACACTTCGGTTTTTCTTCACAAGCAACAGGTCTTGGAGAGGGAGAAAGGAGAAACAAAAGAGGAAGATGGGGCAGGTGGAGGGGGGAGGAAGTAGAAGAGAGAGAGGCAGAAATGAACTCTTTAGAAGTCCGTGAGAAAAAACCCCAAACATTTACAGTCAAACTCCAACCTAAGAAAGGAGAAATACCACAGAAATTATGGTTTGCTCCCTTTTTCTATACATCCCTGCATTGTCCTAAGACACTGGCCTTCCAAGAGTTTTGTTTTATGCATGTATTTCCAGCCTGATGGCAGAAGAGATGACAGGTCACTGTGGATGTCAAAGAGGAGTAGATCAACCAGAAAAAGTTAATCCCAAGCTATTTTGTGGCACAAACTTCTGACAATGGTCCACTTCTCCACACAGCACTGAGGCTCTTATACTTCTTCAGAAGCAGTGATCCTAATGCAGAGATCTATCTTCCAAACCTCTTCCAGTGAGAGTAAGGTAACCCACTTTTCTTTCCCCACTGGGATAAAAAAAAATAAAATAGCATGGAAGAAGCTATACAAAAATAATTCCACTGTTTTGCAAGGCTTTATAACTAAGGCCAAATGAGAAAAAAACCCAACAAAACAACCAAAACCTAAACAAATATCCATGAAGCCACTGTTCCAAATAAAAAGTTGACAACAGCCTGTTAGGAGCGCTATATTGCCTTATAAAGGGCAAAGCCTCACATACTTAAAGCACACAGCCTACCCTCAGTCTGCACTGAGCACGCAGCTCACCCACGATATTCTTCCCCAGCCAGTAGGCTGAAGAAGACCAAGTGTCATGTTTGCTAGTCCAGAATTGGATAGCATTTTACTACAGGATAGTGTCCCAATGAAATTAGAGGCAGCTTAGCCTGCACATTTTTCACAGCTCCTTCTCAGGTGAAGGAAGGCATCTGACATGTTGAGCTTCCTGCACACACTCACGTCATGTGCCATCTAACGACGTGCTCTTCCCTGGCAGAAGCTAGCCTTTCCTTCCCAGAGGTGCAGGCAGCACAGCCAACTTCTACCCCTCTTCACCCCTGCTGCCAGCCAACATCAGTCACTGGCCAGGGCACAATCCTTGGTAATTCTGTACAACTCAAGTTAAAAGAAGCCCATTCATCTAAAAAGGTGCTAGGCCCTTCTTAAGATCTGCAACATGATTCATTTTGACATAGCAGTTGGCAACATTTCCTGAGCTCGACAAGAGACAGACAGACAGACAGGCACGAGCAACACAGAGGGTACAAGAGAAAGAAAACAGACCAGTGCTCATATCGTAGGGACACACACACATAGCCAACTAAAAGAAACTAACTCCCAACGCATGGGCTGTCTCTGGTTATTCAGCCACTTTCACTGCTTCCATGTTTTCAGAGGCTTACATGATTTACATATCCCAGTTGCTTTAAAACAATATGCAAAGGGAACTGAATTATTGCTGGCAGTGGGCAAATTTAAGTATTGCTGGCAGAAGGGCAAGAAAGGCACAGTGAACTTCTGCTCTGCATAAAGGCAGGGCTGGTGAAAAGTTAGTCACTCATTTCACATTTTCAAAGCAGTGAAAATTTTTCTTTTCTTGTGGGTTTTTTTACACAGTTTTAAGGTGTCATTGAAAGAGGAAGAGGAGAAATATCTTCCAGGTGGTAATGCAAAAACAATTATTCTGCTGTCTTGATACTGTAATGTTCCCACTTCTATCTGAAATGGGAGAAATATTTTTGTTATTTTTCTGTGCATAGGAAATAATAAAAGAACTAATTCTTGTCCTTTGGTTACTGTTCATATCTTGGTCTCAAAGTGTGTCTTTGGGCTGTGTATGACTTCTGACAATATGACACTGGCCAATTTCCTCTTTGAACCCTTGAGAGTGGATTTGACTATTTTCTGAACAAATTGTATAAATGCCAAACACTTTGATGGATGAGAAAGGAAATGAACAGGAGGGGGGGGCGGTTACTGGGTATTTGGTCATGCTGGGATACATAAACAAGACCAGGACAAAAGGAAGTTTTGGATTATAAAGGCTCCGAACAAACCTTTTCAGTAAGTATGCTAAAAAACGAAGTGACTGGCAGCTGTCAACTGCCCAGTGGTGCTGTGCCCACACGTTTCATCTGAATGGTGGAGCCCCATCACTCTCTGCCACATTTGGAGTGACTCCCAGTTTGTTCTACACTGCAAGACTCCTATCAAGGATGACAGCACCAACACCAGGCAAAGCATCTGTTCCTCTTTTTGGCACCTCTGCAACAGAATGACAAAGCCTCCTGTCCAGGCAAGGCATACACCTGCTCTGCTGAGCCCAGGAGAACCACTGTCTTTTTCGTTTCACACTCAGAGCAGGCAAAGTCAAACTGAGTTGCCAGCAGCTGGATTTTCTGCACAAAATGGGAGCCGTATGTGGCCAGAGGATCACAGAGCCCTTTTGGTGAGGACATGGACCCCTGAGTGCACACTGACCCCCCCTGCCACCCCCTTGCACGGACATGCTATGTAGGGTGATGAGCACAAGCCGAGCGTGCATGGCATGGAAAATGGCGGAGGCACGAATCGCAGGCAGCTTACGGGAGGTGCTCACCATCAAATGCACACTGGAGCTCGACTTCCTTTTCTGGACACATCATTGAGAGAGGGAAAGAGAAGGGAAGAGAGGAGATGAGAAGAAAAGCACAGAAACTATTCACACATTAGTGTGCCAGCAAGGGCCCCCCTGCCGATAACGCTCCCCTGAGGCAGGTACAAGCAGCAGCAGAAAGGCACAGACACAGAAAAAAGGAACAGAGAGAGAAGTCACCATTAAAGCACATGACACCAGGGGAAAGGGCGGGGCTGAAGACCCCTATCCCCTCAAACACTGAGGTCAGAATATAGGTGCCCCACACACTGATATAAGGGGAGAAGAGAGAGCAATATATATGCACAAGATGTGGGGTACAAGGGGGTCTCTCTGTGCTCTCGCACCTCAGAGAATGGGGCAGCTTCTCCAGCTAAAGTGAAGAGGTAGGCAGAAACCCCCTGTGTGTTCACATTTGAAGAATGCAGAGGTGTGTTTGCAACTCAGATTTAGAGGGTAGGGAGGAGGCCACAACAGAAAGGCACACGCAGGGACTAAAGAAAGAAGAGGGAACTTGTGTGCATAGCATGGGGAGGAGAAAGGCTCCCTCACATAGAATTTGGGCCTGATTGGAAAGGTGCACTAATGCTCAAACATGAAAGACAGAAGCACTCAACAGCCAGAACACTTTGCACTCTCAGATATTGGGAGAAGAACAAACAGGTTCAAACACTACTCAACCTTCTTGGACACTACTCTTGTTCAATGGCATCTTCAGTCATCTTCAAAGACATCTTCACACCAAATTGCACTCTCCAGTAAATGAGGCTCAGCATGCACTTCACTCCTCTTTCACTAAACTCTTAGTGTCATCCAGTTCAAGCTGAGCCTGGCAGGTCTTTCAGCATTACAATGCTATGCCTTCCCCTTGCTGTCTCCATGTACATTTTCCATCTGCCATTCTCCTTTGGTACTATCTAGGCTATTCTCTGCTGCTTACTGCAGTCTAGCCCACAGAGTGGTACAGGACAGCACAGCTCGCGTCAGTCAAAACCCACGATGGCGTGGGCTCAGGTCTGTAGCTCTGGACTCCTGCACACTACCACAGCACCCCCTGGAGCAGCCTGTGAACACCCAACAGGCCATGGAGTTGTAGCTCCCCATTTCATACACTTACTGAGCCTTCACAGCTCTTACCTTGAATATTGTCTTCATCCCTGCTATCCTCACATCAGAGCTCAAGCACACACACACACTGGCATGTGTTTGAAAGCAGAAGTGCCCATGTTCACCTCATACCCAGAACCACATTCCTAATCATGCCATACAGTCCACAGTCACTCTGATCTTTTCACCATTTGGCTCACAAATCTTCCATTTCATGGAGGCACAACACAGGGCTTGCCATTACATGGTTTACAAATTTGTGTTTCCTCTCATTTCTTTCAGGACAATTTAGCTTCTCCACAGGCTTTTCCTCAAGCTAGAACTAAAACTGCATCTACTACCAGTGCATGAATATAATGCTTAGACTGCCAGCAACCCAGAGAAATCCTTGTACCCCATCACAACAGGGAATTTTTAACTGGGAAAAGTAGAAATTCACAACAATGAAAAACTACTGTTTTTACTTTTAATGTATCCTCTAAGTTGCAGCAGACAAAAAAGAAACTATATGGATACTATTGTCTCTAAGAAAGACAATCTAATTTGAAATTCATACAGACTTCCTCCAGTAAGTTACAAAAGAAAAAAGGGACAGAAAATGTTAAGATACAAGCAAAAGGTTCAATAGGAAAATAATCAACAAAGGCATGCAGAAAACAAACACCCTTCTACACAGAGGCACAAGTAGCACTGACACAGGAGGAAACAGAACCCTCTGCAGATCAGAACTTAATCAAAGTACAAGCTACATTTAAAACAGTGTTAGTCAATTACAGGGCATGATGCAGTGTAGAAATCCCAGGAAGCACATTATTACTGGCTACTATAGTAACATGGAGAAGAAAAGCTAGGTTGGCAGTATGAAAAAGGCAGGGAGTGACGTCTGTGTTATGACCAGAGCATGAAAATACTACTAAAACACAAGACAGGTTAGATAATGCCAACATGAGGCACTGGCAGTAAGTGCTAAAGCATCAAAATTTATTAAGTCAAATCATATACAAGGAAATTACTAAGCCAGATCAATCTCCCACTACATCTTAAGAGCTGCAACAGAACCATCTATTGTTACCTTCCTAAGTGACTAGCTGAGAGAGCAAAGCTTTTTGATCTTTTAATGTGACTGCAACTTAGCAAAGTAAATAAGAGAGCAGAAGTTTAATTATAGAGTTCTCTTTCCCTTCCATAACACAGAACCCTCTAAGAACTACTAGGGAGAGCAAAGATGTTGCAGGGAATGAAAAAAATTGTTAAAGGCAGACACAGCCTGGTAAAGTACCTTGCTGATCACTTTAATGGTTTCCCTACACCTGAGTGACAAAACATTTTCTCAAAGCAGTACAGACAACACACCTAGGGATGAGTGTTTGTTACAGTTCTATTTTTGTTATGTGTGTGAATTTTAGGTGTTCATCTCTCAAAGAGGAGCAGATTCTCTACAGTGAAACTTAAAGAACAAACTTGCTTTAGGTAACAATCAACAGAAGTCAGCAGGTGACAGAAGACAATCTGAAGAATCACTTTCTCTTCAGCATGGCAGCAATACTAGAAATGGCGAGCGTAAATCATTCCACAGCACATACCAAAACATACTATAAGAAGTAGAGTGATTCCAAGCAAGGTCCTATTCACAGTCCTGGGAACTTAACATGGCTACTTTACTTTTATGACAGCTTTCTGTATTTCCATCTTCTACATGCAGTTCTCCCCCAGTCTGATACTGACAGTATTTATGTTAAAATATCATGCTTGAAGCAATTCATATTCCCATGGAGAATATAGTAATTTCAGAACTTAAGGTAGGAAAAAAATGCTGAACTAAAAGCAGATCATCATAGTGAGAGTCATCTTGAACCAGCAAATTTGAGGTCCTATTTCTGCTTCTGCTTCAGCACTTTTGTGTGATGCTGAGCAAATAATTTAATCTTTGTCAATCCATCTTCTCTCTTGCCCTTTTGTCAGCTTGTCTATTTAAATTGTAAGCTAAGAGGCAGGGATTTTCTGCTAAGCACACTGGACCCTTGATCTCAGTTGGTGTTTCCAGGCATTACAACAATGCAGTGAAAAACCTGACTGCATCAAAGATGGATATAATGTGCTACTGGATGTCAGCACTTAAACAGATCTAAAGCACTCCCCAGGTGTCTTGCATAACACAGTTCAGCACAAAACTCTGCTGCTCAGATGAACTTGGGTTCTCCCTGTTTAGCTTCACCATAAACAATATTTAAACAGTATGGCTTTAAGATTATAACAAGTCCAGATACAGAGATAGGAACATTAACTCCTGTTGGTCACTGTGTGAATGTTACTTGACCCTTGCAGATTTTATAGGTTGCTTCACCTTGCTACTGTGCCTTCTCTGTTTAAGGCATGCTTTCACCAAGAAGCAGCCATGCCAGTTTACAGAGCATCCTTTCTTCCCCACATACTCTTTACTGGGCAAAGGGCAGGGAAAGTGGTACACATCAGGCATAAAACGTACACTTACTGCAATATTCCTCACAAACAGCAGAACAAATGATACTTGGTACCTCTTTGCAGTTATGTAACATATAGGGCAGATTTTAGAACATTAACCTTGCTAAACCAAATGAATGGATTTTTCCTCTTTCAGTCAAGTTCTCCTTTCAGCTGTGCTATTCAGCTTTTACTGGGAAAGAAAACAGAGTGCATGTGGCAGAAAGACAAGGTAGAAAATCAACAGACTTGGCAGAGCATTGCAAGTGACTGCTGTTAAAATCACCTGCATCCCACAGCATGCTCTACAATTTACTATCCACATAGTGTTACAGTGGGCCTGAGGAACATTACTGATAAAATTTTGTAAATCCTAGTTGCAAACCCAAGTGATCAGAAGTAAAGAGGAAAAAAAAAGAAACTGACAAGGAGCTTAGAGAAGGACCAATTAAAAAATAATTACCATTACATGCTTAACTGAAAATAAGACTTTGTGCATTAAACAATTCTGATTATAGAAATGGGTCCTACAGGCCCTGCTATAACTGGAAGCACACACAACCTCTCACATCAGCAGGAAGTGAAATACCCCTTTGGAAAAAAGGGAACACAACTCTTTGAAGTGCTACTCACAGACAAAAAAAAATAAAAAAAAAATTAAAAAAAAAAAAAAAAAAAAAATCAGCAGTAGGACTGTAACACTCACTCAAGGGAGTCCAGATCCTGACAAGCTTAGAGGAAGAACATTCAGCATAAAGTGTCCTTAATCTTCATCCAGGTGTTTACCCCAGCCCACTCCTTAACCCCTCTCACCTTGCAGTACATAGCAATTCCAGATTATCCAGATTAGAGTCAGAAAAGGGGAACAAGAAAGCAAATCAATCTGATTTGAAAGTATCTAAAGTAAAATTTTAAATGGTAGATGCACAATGTTGCACATAAATTTAGAATCTTAAAAAAATACCTGGGACCTACAGTGATGACCACAAGATATGTAGTATGTTACAGGGGCTCTGCAACTCCTCACTCAGTATCTTCTAGACTCACTTTCTGGATTTGAAAGCAGAAAACCACATTCCTTGGGGATAAAACTTGGGCCTTCCTGCTGCTACTCCAACAGCTTGGATCCAAATTCTGCTTGAAGAAAGTGAGTGCAGCACTACAAAGGTTTGGTGAGCAGGCAGAATTTAAGATTCAAGGCACTTTAAATCATTCATTATTTAAGATAATGGAAAAGTTCTCAAGTGCCAAGCTGATGAAATATCTACCAATTAGCAGAATTAGTACTTGAAATAGAAGCAACAGTGCAAAATTAAAATCAGGAATGCTTCAAATAAAATTTGGAAAGGAATTTGCTGAAGGGAGCAGTCACATCTACAGAAATTTATCAAAACAACCCCAGTGTGGACAAACTAGTATTGGAATTTTTTTTAAAAAGTTTCTTGCCTGTCCTCCCCTCCTGATTTAAACTTCTCCCACTGCCTTCCAAAATGGTCTGATCCAAGTAAAATGCATGCATCATCATTGCTTTAGTGCTAAACTTTCTTCAGTGAAGGATTTGAGCTTATTGCTAGAGAAACAATAATTATGCTTTTTTTTTTTAGTATCAGCTCAACACAACTCATGCTAGATGCTTAGATCACCACACATGACTATCAAATCATTCCTCTCTCATTTATGCTAAGTCAGCAAGTACATGCTGTACCTTGCGTCAGAAATTCACCAACACACATTTTCATGGAGTTATTGCAAATAAAACTTGAGAAAGATGTATATGTCTCACTCAAGCTTGTGTAATACTATGTAATAGAAATTCCTACTATCCTTGTCAAACAATGCAGAATTCTAGCACAGTCAGCTCTGAATACCAGCCAAAAAAGGGAAAGCTACCTCAAACAGAAAGTAAATTAACACAAACTGGTGGTGCTTTTTTCTCAGTGTCTTTAAAGCCATTAAGTTTAGTGTAGTAATCTATTTGTGGAAGAAATACTCTTTCAATTCTTATCTACTTTGTGGATCTCTGTGACAACAGTCCTAGGGTGCACAGTCACCCTGGATCAGATAAAACCAATGAAGAAACTGAAACATATTTTCTCTCAAATCTGCATAAAGAGTTGGTTTCCAAGAAGGTTGTAAGAGATAAACAGAAAACTCTACAATCAAACAAACCAGTGTTCTTATCAGGAGGAAACAAGAGAAACAGCCTAACCAGATGGTACGTGGTCAGCAGCAGACTCCAGTGGGAATTACAGCATGCAGTGCTTGTTCTAAACCTACATTGGATGTAGAATAATTTATATAGGAAGTGGGAGTGAAAAGGATACCACAAAGCTGAAAATCTGGTTGGTGTTCAAGCCATGGTATTTGTGCTCTGCACTACTGCAATGGGCAGAAAATCATTGCTTGCCACAAGTAAGACCAGATGCTGTTACCTCAACCAGACACTGCCACAAGTTTTTTGTCAGAACTGTACAGGGTGAGAAAGTGAGTGGAGCTAAAATTACAAGTTTGCTGCATAAGGAGCAACACGTGACAAGTATGGTGGTCACACTGGTGAGGCCACCAACCAAACAGTGACCAGCACAAAGACTGTCCTCAGCAGTCAAGGGGTCAGTACTGCTCCAACAAGCAAATGGACATGGTAAAAGACTACACTTCAAATGGGATGCAGCACCCATTACAGTAGGGCAAGGAAAGAGACAGGAATGTAGACACAGAAATCCTACAACAGAAGTGTTAAGGATGTCCTACTAACACACACAGACCATTACACACTCTTTGTCTTGTCCAAGCTTAGCATTGGGGGAAAACAACTTGTACTTTTAAAAGTCTGTATTACTGAACAGAAGAGTAACTCAAAACAGGAGCTTTAATATTGTTTCTGAGTTTTAACACTTGCAGAAATGAGGACTCAAAATCCATACCTGAAGACAGACACTATTTAGGGAAAATGGGAAGCTTAAACACCTCTCCTGGGGGCCCTCAGCCCAGGGTGAACATGAGCAATGCACCTCATGGGCAACACCGAGGTTCCCACTGCAAAGCCAGACTGCTGTAACACTTTGGAGGAAGGAAGCTGCATGGGCTCTTGACTGCAGGTCTCCAGTGTCCTGCAGAAGCAGTGGTTTCCAGAGGACAATCTCATTTACCAAGAACAGAGAATGCTATGCTCTCTAATATACCTGCCATTTTATCAAAGTATTTAATTACACATATGAGGAGCAACATATACTGCAAAGGGATGAAGAAAAGTAAATCCAGAATTATCCTTTTCAGAGAGGAAGACATTGTGTATTCCATGAACCAAACACCACAAGCTTTCTATGGAGCTGGAAGGTTCTAATGTACAGGATCTCTTTGTAACTACATTACTAGGAAGTAGTGCCTCAAGATTTATGTGTACATCCTTTATCCATTTTTAGAATATTTTAACCCATGATGTAACACTCCCTGAAAGCTTTTTAGAAATCAAGAATCCTAAGAAGAAAGCCTTTTTTTTTTTTGTAGATAGGTAACAAAACTTTGTAGACATGTTGATACCTGCTGTTTTTCCAATTACTTCTCCTCTGCCTCATTGGGATTTTGAAGTAAGCACCTGTTGGTTCTCATTTCACAACATTAGGGATAATCCATTCTTATCCCACTGGAATTCTATTCTAATGGTTTAAATATCAACAGATGCAACAACTCTTAACACACTTGCTGTATTAGTGTGCATGTGTTCAATGCATGTCTGTACAAGAGGCAGGCTGGTGCAATGGCCAAAAGCTCACTCTTGCAGGCATATATCAAAGACAAGAATCTTAGGGCAGGAACAGCATTTTCACAGAGCATTTTGATCAAAAAATAAACTATCCCCAAAACCTGGATGTCAATAGGGCAGAATACTGCAGAACTGTAAGAATGCATGTTTTATTAGAGCAGATCCAAAAACAAACACAACTCTTCTGAAAACACCTCTTTTTCCAGCAGCCTGCTTGTACTCTGAGCCCTCTGGGAACAAAGCCTCATTAAAATGGAAGAGGGCTCAGAAATCAGGAGAGAATAAGTGTGCTGGTCCTACAGTGTGAATGTCAGCCCCCCAGCACAGGGAGAATGAAGAGTGCCCACAGTGCTAAATCAGGAGATGAACAGTTCCACCTAACAGCTGTGGAGAAAGGTTTGACTTCAAAGGAAAATGCAAGCAAATAAACCCAATTCTTCTTTTCCATGTGGAGGACAATTATCCTTCAGAACAGGTAGGGGAGGACCATGCTCTAGCCTATAATTGTCTCTCCTCCAGTATCCAGACAACAAAGGGCAGCTGCCTCCAACAGCAGGGCCTTAGCGAGGGCCTGTGTGACCTCCAGAAATAAATGATGACCATGCAACTCAAAGACTAACACTGAAGTGGGGAAAAAATAATTCCCTTCAGAAGGGAACAGTAGAGTGCCTCAACTTCAGGCACATGCATTGAACTTTTAACACATTCCTCAGTTTCCGTTCTGTCCAAACATGAACATTTGGAGGGTCCTCCTTCCCCACCCTTCTTCCCAGCTCAGCCTTCAGCATCTGTCCAAGTGAGTAGACAAAGAAACTTCCATGGGGTCTGCTGGCTGTATCATCAGTCACTCACAATCGCTCTGTGCAATTTTCACAGTCAGAAGCACTGAACAGAACAGACTAATCAGAGGCATGTGTAACAACGGAGCAAGTCCTTGGTCTTTCTAATCCAGGGCTGACCAGTTCTCCATACATCACAGAAAGGGGAAACGGAATTCCTGCTGCTGCAACAGTGCACTTAGCTAATTATGCATGTAAGGAGCACTAAGATCCCACCCAGGGTTCCACAACAAGACACTGGATTACAGCAATCCAGGCCACAGGGCTGTGGTTTTACCCTGGAAAGGGACAGGCACCAGGGAGACTGGCTGCCTTCTGTTCAGATGGTGGGAGAGACAGTGAAATGGCAAAGCAAGAACTTACCTTCACTCCATCTGACTTCTTGTTCAGCAGGCTTTTGGCAGCTGTGGAGAAAAGCAGAAGTAGATCAGATTTTGGTTTCAAGACTATCTTCTCTCTCTCTCTCTCTCTCTCCCCCCCACCCCCCCTTCCCAACTTCCCTCAAAAATGCCCAAAACTTCAGAAGGACAACCATCCTGTTAATTCCTCCCTAGCAGCAAGAGACCTGGAAAACAAGGCAAGTCACTCATCAAATTCATCCTGATAGCAGAGGGTCATCTATCCTATCTATTGTTCACCTATTCAGACAAAATACTACCACTTTCACCACCTCAAGAAGACCAAGTCTGAAATGGTAATTTAGAGTTTTCTGTCATCCCCCAGTCACACACTGTGACCCCACCCAGAAGTGTCAGCAGTTACAGGTGGAAAATAAACCTGATTTTTGCAACAGGATAAAGGCTGCACCTGTAAGTGCAGGCATTCACATAACAGATGTGGCTTATAAAGGGGGGGGCTGATAATACAGAAGCTTTTAAATTACTGTTATTCAGTTATACAGTTTCTCTGGGGATAGCTGGATAGCTAAAAGAAAGGGACTGAAAAAGTGCAAAAGGCAGCATCTGAAAACTGTTAAAAGGAAGGATGGCAAAAGAGACAGGGAACTAGGCTGAATTTCTTAATTGAAAGATAAAGATGCTCTGCTGTGCTCAACTTGAACAACTGGCACTACCAATGAAACTGAGAGAATGATAAGCACACACCTAGAGCCCACAACAAGTGCCTGGCAGAAGGCATACTTGGGAGTGATAAAGGAGCTGCTTCATCTATTACAGCAAAGTGGTACATTAACCATGACTGTCAGCAGCAAGATCCCATCTTCAGCTTCAACAGATACAAACCATTTCTTGTCTACTTATGAAGAATGTATCAACTTCTGTAAAGAGCATGCAATACAGCTATTGTACCAACACATGCTGTGGCTCTCCTAAGCAGCTAGCTTCTGGGTCTGGGCACCTGGGTTTTAGGTGCAGCAAAGATGAGGCCTAGAAAAAAGGCAAGTCCTGAGCCAATGCTGACATGACTCTTGAAATCCCCAAAGACATACTGGCCAACTGCACAGAGTGCTCAGTCTCTCTAGAAACAGCAATGTTAGGCAAAAAAGGTTTTTGCAATACCTAAGCAACTGTTCAAATTTTATGTCAACCACATTTTCCACTCCGCCTTCTCTACAAGACCCTACAGACATGGATTAACTACACAATATTAGCTGAGGTGGTGCAAACGACTACAGCATCTCCTTCCAACAAAGAGGTGGCAGCCCATATAAGCTTACCAGAATCTCTGGATTGGTTTCCTAATTCTACTCTCTAATGCAAGTATAAAGCTAGATTACAATTTTGTTTTCCTTCTAGCTCTTAGAAGCCAAGAACATTGGAAGAACCTCATGCAGAGGTTTTCTGAATGTGATGTGTCAAAACACAGTGTTCCAACGTGCACACATGAAGGTGGGCAAAGCAACTCATCTGCCCTGCAACAGTCTCTTTTCTGAGTGTACATATATTAAAGCATTGCAAGACTGCAAGACAAGTAAGTTCTTGCCACCTTGAAGGCATGACAAAGGCTAGCTTGATTCTACATGCAAGTGAGAAGGAGAACAATGTGACTATGGGGTCAAAAGGGGTCCAGCATTCATACCACACATGCATGAAGGCATCTCACACAACTGCTGAAAACAAGAAACTGTTACAGCCTTACAACACTTCAGAAGGAGTAAAGGATTCTGCAATTTAACAAATATGCCAAATGGGGCATCCTTGAAGTGGGAAAAAAAAAACAAAAACCAAAAAGAAACCACCATCAGAGAAGCAAAATAGTATCACCATATGTTCTGGGAACATCCCAGAGACAAACAGGGAAGCAACATTTTTCACACTTTCTGCAGTTTTCCCACAGCCTCACATTTGTCTCTGTGGACAGAAGACAGCTAAAATCACGTTTACAACATCAGAGCAAATTCAGCTGAGAGTCCCTCCATGCAGCCCAGCACTATGTAATGTTGATCCATGTTCCCTGGTGCAGCCTGCCTGTCCAGCCTCCTTCCCTGACTGCACCTCTGCATGGCACACGCTGCTCTCCCACAGGCCTGACAGCACCCCAGTACTGCAGAAAGAAACTTGGTCTGTGGTGTATTTGGCTCATGCACCATACTGTGTTTATAAAGAGCTGGAGAGCCCAGGAAATACATTTACACACAAAGATGACTCAGACACCTCAGACAACAGGGAAGCATGCAGGTCTACCCACAGATCAACCTGTACAAATTACAAGACACAAGTAAAAGGGGATGCAAGAGGAATTTCTGAACAAGCAACAGACAAGACTTCCTGTAACAATAATCCTTTTAAAAGACAGGCAGTTTAGCAAAGAGACAACAGGAGAGGAAATATACAAAGACACATGCAGGCAGATTCTTTACTGTTCCTGAAACAGTCTTGCCAGTACTCTACAGTCTTCCAGGTGTGAGATGCTAAGACTAATTTTTTCTATCTTTCCCATTTCCTCTATATGTTAAAGGGATTAAATTCCCTCTTTTAACTTCTAGAAGTTAAGAGTTCTTCCAGAATATAGAAACATGAAAGCACGTGCTGCTAACCCAGTAACTTAAAAACAATTCTGTTCCTGGCTTAACAAGTCACCCTTCAGCTAAACTCTGAAGAGAAACACAAAAGGCCTCTCCTGCACATAGCCCTCCCTCTTCCCACATCTTTCAGTTCTGGCATCCATAGTAAATAGCCTGGGCTCTGGACCATGCTCCTGGCAGAAACACAAATCCCTAATGCTGAACTCATCAGCAAAAAACACCAGACACTCTGGATGTACCAGAGCCAAGGGGTGACTGAAGAGGAAATACTCAGTCCAAAGATAGCCACGGATAGAGTCTTCCCCACTGCCAGCCCCACTCCTCTTCCAGAGTGAGCAACCCTTCATCCAGCCTGTCCTCAAACGCCAAAACTCAGTTACATTTCTCACTTAAGTTTCCAGAGAATTCTTTTTAGGGATGCAGGAAGAACACTGAGGCTGCTTTTTTGAAGTCTGACTAACTTATGATGCTAGTCTAACAAACAAGCCAAGTTCTGGCTTCTAAACACAAGCATTTATACCTAAAGAATTCTGGACTTTACTGAGACTTTGTAAAATAAAACTTGTATGGTACCAACACAGACTTCGCAATGAAACACAGTTGCAGCTTGTCATTCTCATATTCTCAGTTCAAAGAAAGTAATATTAACTATTTCTCAACCTGATGTCACTTCTGGGGTCACCACAAAGTACCCAACAGTCAGTGTGCAGTCAAAAGAGGCACTTTTGGCTACCATCACACACAATAACCATGAATGCAGTGTAACTTCAAGAATATTTTATTAAGGACAAACGCCACAATAAAAAAAATATTCCCAGAGCTTTCCTGAACTTTAGAGAGAGGAACGCAGAAGTAGAAGAGATTATTCTAATAATTTATATCCACTTTTGATGACAAATTAGACTCTCTGGCTATAGTGATAAACAATTAAATGCAGTAATCTGTATCACTCTAGGAAGTTGCAAATGGAAGTTACTAACTGAAATCCACTACTTTGGCAGGTCCACACTGTAGTAGTTGAGCACCATTCACTGAAACCCTTACTGTTTGTTAAGAGATTTAGTAGATACAGAGAAAACACTTAAAAACAACTTAATCTTTCATTAAATGTGACTTCATCTTCTGCTTGGGAAATGTGGTTTCCAGTGATATTATACTTATTTAGTCAAAGCTCTAAAAATACCTTAATAATTTTTCCCCCTCCATATTTTCATACCTTTTGATTCCTACCAGGAGATAAAAATTTCTGGTCCTGAATCATTATCTACCTAACATAACACAATAGAGACTTCACATATATTACTCATTTCAGTTAAAGAAAAGAACTCAAATTTCAGCCTGAGTGTAGATATATATGTATATGCACACGCACACACATGCAAATAGCAAAAATTCAGTTTCTCACTTCTGGAAGGGAGGTATAACATGACAGCTAAATATTTCAGTACCACTTCAGTATTTGTACTATTTCCTCCTTCTTGCCCTTTAGTCAGCTAAAAAATCTCTGTACTGGTTACACTAAATACACACAGGCATATTCAGGCCTTCTTTACTTAGAAAGAACTCTGCTCCTCAGATCTGCCTCCAGCCTCTCTCAACCTCACCTATCTAGCCAAAAACTCAAACATGCACATTGGAGTGTTCATCTGTAAGAGACCTCTAATGAATTCCAGTTATTGTCACACTCTGCCACAATAGCTCCCTCACCAAACTGACTTGGGCAAGCTGTGACAACCCAGAAGAAAGCTCAACATCAGTTAAAAATACAGGTTTCAGGCATAAGGCTTAATTACCTGCAATGTCTGCCTTAAGATCTATTTTGAACACAGGACTTGTGCTAAACCATGTGATAGAAATTAATTTCACAATGTGAAAGCTTGCTGAACAGCTCCCCAAATTAACAGTTGCAATCCACTTAGGAAAACAGTACTAAGAATTTCACATAGGCCACTTGTAAGCTGCGCATAAAAATCGGCTTACGGAGAAAAGCCACTTCTCAGCATTTGGTGATGCTCCTCCTGGCATCATGGCTGCTCCTAAGATGAAAACCAGGTTTTTTCCATCCTTTCACTCAACTTATAGCTAGCCTATTTACAGAGTTTTATCTACATAAATTAGTCCAGGCACCCTTAAATACAGCAGGAGTCTTTAAAAACCTTGCCAACTCTCTTCTAGTAATAAATTTACATTTACTTCTCAGAAGATGATTTAGGGGTTTCTTGCACATGATCTGATCAGTTGATTTACTGACTGCACTCCTGTATTCTGTAAGTGAATGCACATCAGGTCAGTGTTTGCTTGGATCACCTGAACATCCAAAGCCCCAAGTGAACACCCAAGTAATCCTGTGTATACCCTGGTGTGACCCTAACAATTCTACAGCAAAATTTAGATTGCATTGCTCTCTCTTGCAGCTGAATGAACACCTTACCAGAGTGTGGAGAGAAGCTACAAATCCCTTATTTTAACCAGGTTTCATCTTCCTGACTTATGCTGAAAGGAGTGCAACTGTACCTGCTTTTAACAAATAGCCTACAGCTGGCCTGAGATGCAATCTTCTAAAAAGAACCACAAACAGCCAATATTAAATAGCTGAATACATCATAACTGGGGGAAGGAACAAGATATCCTTTAACTTAACTGGTCTGGGGCAATAGGCACATTGCAAGCAACAAATTACAAAAGAACAGAAACCTTTTTTTTTTCTTTGTAAAAAGCAAGAATTTTTGATGAGCTAAAAAGAGAGAGTACTGCTACAGATTCTTTAGGAATACAATTTGTCACAGGCCTATACAGAGAAGGAGCTCCATACTACAAAATGTGACACAGGAGATAGTAATGACAATGAGATTAAAGGAGTCTTCTCATATTTCCTGCAGATAGTACAGTCTTGCTTAATTAATTGATACTGAGGCCACATGAGCCTCTGTTTTCCTCTTTGTTCAAAACATGTATGAAAGAAGCTTTTAGGAGATCTCATCCCCAGGCAGGAAGAAGCTTCTCTCTCTTCATAAATTTAGTTCCCTGTCTGCTAGGAATGGGATTTTTAAAAATCCACAAAATAGTGTCACCCAATTAGAGAAAAATAAAAACCCCTTAAGGGCTTTAGGGAAAGAAATAAATATTATTGCAGAACCTTTCAAGTCTGAGGTCTACCTAAAGCTCCCACACAAACTTTTAAACTTATTACGTTTACTTAGCATGCATTAATTCTTTAATTCCAACAGATGTATCTACTTCAACCAGCCAACCAGAAAACCCAAGTAAATTAAAAAATAATTACAATTTTAAAAAGTCAAACTCCTATTACACACAGTCCTGCAAAGGAAACAGGAGTAGATGATCTCATCCCTCTAAAAACACATAAAAAGGTAAGGAATTGCTACTCTTGACAGAGGCTTTGCATCTAAATTCACAACATCTCTCTCTGGACAGTTTTTCATTATTGTCTCATACTTGGAATCACAGTTTATATTCAAAGCAGAACTCAGTAACACTGCAAACCCTGCACTCACTGTGGGCCACCTAGGATTTCCTTCTCTTCAGCTGTTAACTGAAGTGGATCCAGCAGCTTCAGCCCTTGACACACAGAAGAATGAGTAGAGCAAGCTTTTTCCTCCTCAGTACTAGCTCAGGGATTAAGTGGATGTACAGGTCACACACCATTAAGGAGAACCCTTCTCTTTGGCATTTCATGTACCCAAAATCATACCCATAAGAGATTTTTTCACCCAAGCACTTCTGCAGCTTCATTAGAAGTGACAACATTCACAGACTAAAAATTAATCTAAAACTTCTGTTTATGAAAAAAAAGCAATAAAACCCCTGATTTCAGAATCATCAGTTAAGTGAAATAAAGATCAGCCGTGTAAATAGAACAAAAACAGTTCACACCAGCAGAAAGCACAGGAAAATGTTTAGCTCTGTACAGGCCTGTGGAAGTCCTGTCATTGTGCCATAGCTCTCCAAACAGTTATTTCAGAATCAATCTCAGAAAGCAATATAGAATTTTAAAGTCCTGTAGTAGCACAATTGTGGGGCAGATGAATGGATAAAATTATTCTGTCCCTTTAAGGCCAAACTATGAGAAATGCAGAAGAAAGAAATTGCTGTAGTCACAAGTAATGACATATTGGCACAGGTCTACCTGAAAGCAAGAACCAAGAAAAAAATGTTTGGATGTTGGTGAGGGCTGGTCCTTAATTGTAGCATCCACAATCATAATTAGGTTGGTTTTTTTTTTTGTTGTTTTTTTTTTGTTTTTTTTACATCACCATACAGAAGGTTAAAAATGCTGCCTTGAGTTCACAGAAGAATGTATGCATGAATGTGCACTCTGTGTGCTGGGATGATCATTTCACAGAGGTTTTCATTCCAATTACAAGTTTATTGTAACAACATGCAGAATATAAGTATTGGTATCCACCATTAGTAAATGACCAGATGAAATCAATACACTTCCATCATCACATAATCCACACAGCAGACTTCCACTTGAAAGCAGCTGTAATCAGGTGCAATAAAAATCTGACTCATGCGTTCAATGACTGCTCTTTTAAAAGAGAAAGAAAATTACAAAGAGGGTAAAGAAAACAAAGATTCCATAAACCAAAAGTACTTACAAATAGAGGCTTTCCACCCAAATGAAAATGAACACAGATAAGACTGCGTCACCTAGGTGTGCTGAGCCAAGACAGTAATCTTCCAAAAAGCATGGATTTACATGTTGAGATTTGCATTTTCAGTAAATGCACTACGTAATGCAGTTGGGTGGGAGCCAGACTACCAGCTATTAAATTTAAAAGGATGAAAACCACTTCTGAGACTCCAAGAAGGAAAACTAATAGCCAGACACTTCAGACCCATTTTTGATGAGTCAAAGTAATGCAATATCCAAACAGCTCCTGTCCCTATTCTCAACAATATTACTTCCCTGTCCCTGCCTCAAGTCTGAAGAAAACACTCCTATCTAATAAGAGCTCTTCACTCCTGGTTTGTGATGGGAAAGCTAATCATATCAGCTAGAATTTCTCACAAGTAATTTGCTAATAAAATATCCTGAGACAGTTATGGAAGCTGACTTGACTTCTGTTTTGTACCAGACTACAATACCATGTGCTCCTCTCCAAACAAATAATTTCCTATTTCACACTGGTTACCAGCTCAGGCAAAGTGACCACCATTACAACATGATGAACTGAAGCCATGTTTCCTCCCCTCGTACTTGACTCCAGAATGGTTAAAATATTCTCCCGCTCACTCACACAAAACACAACCAAGGAAAGGATGGGAACATTGAGGACTTACCTGAAAAATTCCGAGACACAAGCATCGTTGTGAGGATTGCACCCTGTGAGGAAGACAAAGCAGGGATAACAGAAAGTGACACTTGAGAAAGAGGCTGGGCTGACCCATGGAGGACACAATGCATCAGTTACCAATGCAGACATATATCACTGGTACCCTGAAGAACCCCAGTGTATCCAGGATTCCCACGTGTACCTCTTAGGCCCTACACGGGACCACTCACAGTCCTGCCTTTCTAGAGCAGCAGCTAGATGCCAGGCAGGATAGCCTAGGAAATCTGAAATGGCACTAAGAATTGAACACATAGCTGCTTCCTAGATTTCACACAGCAGAGAGCTGCTTCGTGCATAGCTCAGAGGCTTTGCCTCAGCTGCAGGCAACTGGTAACACTAGTACTGGAAGGTGCAGAATGTTCAGAACTAAAAGTCCCAGAACTACCTGCTCTATTTCAACTCACTGGCAGAAACTAGAAGGGATGAATATGTAGCAGAGGAGGCATGGGAAGCTTAGACACTAACTACCCTGCTCATCAGTACACTGCTCCAGTGCCTGTACTGGAGGATCACATTAGGTGCTTCTCTAACACTGTGCTAGTCATGAAAAAAATTATTTCTGCTAGGAAGGCACTAACCTCAAATTCAGAGAACTAAAATCAAATGTAAAGTGAGTTATAATGTACTTACCTTTAGCTTCCTTCTAGCATTGAACTTTCTCAAGCATTCCACAGTCTCCTGCCTGTGCATCATTGATGCAACAGTGGATCGTTGCTGAAAAACAGGAACAGCAGAATATCAAGAACATACCCATACAAATCAGCCAGGGAAGTTCATTCCATTTGCACACAATCAACACATTCAGGCTGAAAGGGCCAAGCCTCTCAGCACCGCATGGATGCAAAGCACTGCAACTGGTTCATAACCTGAGAATTTCCATCAAGACTCATTAAATCAAGATGGGCTATGATAGGACTGCACCCAAGAAATTTATGACCGAGGTAAAGGTGAGAATCAGTGCTCCCTGCCTTTCAGGCACACACAAGATTTAAGACAGTATGAAGACAAAGCCAAATGAACAAGTACACCCATGGCGAACTGAGTTAGAGGCACTACAGAAAAGACCTGGGCTGCATTAGTTACAGTTTGAAAGGGAAATTTCAAGCAGTAAGGGAATACTTGTGAGCAGCAGCCTTCCTGGACATGGCAATCCCCTGAATGTAAGAGATTGACTAGCAGAGGCCTTGGCATCTTTGTATCAGTATTGCAGAAACAGATTCTCAGCATGTAAGAGAAAAGATCATGTATTTCTATTGTACCAATGGAAAAAATGAGCATAATCTCTATGCAGTGATGCACATCTATCATCCAAAGCAGACTGGGATACCATCAGCTGCAAAAAGACAAAAGACAACTTCCCAGAATTGTTGCAGCCATTTAGACCACGAGAGGAAATCAGAAACTGTTACTGCAAGCATTTAGAGCACAAGGAGGCCAGTGGCTAATGCCAAAGTAGCTGTTGCTCTTGCATAGAACCACAAGCCTGAATTCCCTTTATGAGGACAGTGGGTGAATTTCTAACCTGGCAGATAAGTGTGAACAAAGTCTCCACTAACTTTCTCTTGCTTGGAAAAAATACTGCAATACCCAAAAGAACTGTAAACTGTGTGCATATTCAGCTAGTTTCAGGGGCAGTCTCTGCTTTGATCCTATTGTCAAAGCTGGTCACCTATTGCAGTACACATGGCAGTGTCTGGGAAGAATGTAGCCAAAATGTCCTCAAACAACAGTGGTGGTCACGGTTCCTCCAGCCTCTTCAGGAGAGACAGTGAAGTTCAGTTGTTCAATGTGTGCTTACAAGAATCAGGACACATACTTCAGAAGTTCAGTGATGCTAAGACACTCAGTGTCTCAGACAAACTTTTAAACTTTTTTAGGTTTCCTACAACATTTACTTTAGAGGAGCCATATATATCCAGAAAAAAACAGATATTGTGCACACAAGGACTGCAAAGCAAAAGGAAACAACAAATTCAACAGGAGGCAGTTTCAGCGAGCGGCTGACACGGCTGGGAAGTGAAGTCAGACTCTCCCCTAGCTCAGAGAAGGAAAGTTGCCACAGGGAGTGGGCTATCATAATACAACTTTGGCTACAGGCATCTGGAGGAAAGTTTAATACACAGGAACTTGATTATAAGCATGCAAGGAGAAAAAAAAAAAAAAGATATGCAGTCTCAGCTAGTGTGAAGTTTTGACTTCCAAGGAACTTGCATCATTTTACAGCAGATGCTCCTGTTAGACAGATGTTCACATAATTAACTTTAAATTGCTATCTGTTGATTTGTAGTATAAGGACACCACCACCACAGTTTCTCAAAAACAAATGAGCAAAGGAGCACACTAGACCCATCCCAGAAGTACACTGTGGTATTAACAGAGCATCTGGTAAGACTTAGGTCAAACTATTTCATCCTGCAGAGATAAAAGTGCATCACTGCTGCCCTCCCCTACACCCACATCCAGCTGTGTTCTGGGATTTCCTTGCCAACTTCGCAAAAGATGAAAAATACTTATGTGTGAGGTCTGGCAAGGCAGAAACTACATACACATAACAGCAGAAGATTTTTTGCTGATTTCAAGTTTACAGCCAGGTAAGATGCAGCACAGCAGAAATGTCCCAAACATTGCCAAGATGCTATGCCATAAACTGAAGCAGAGATTAAGAACAAAATGGTCCTAAAATTTTTGTCTGATGCCAAACTCCATTTGACATTTTAGGATGCTATGGATTGGAAAAGATGTGGGGAAAAAACCAGAAACTGTGGGCACTGACAAAATTCTACAAGCATCTGGGTTTTTTTTACTACTGTGAAATAAAAGCACCACAGCATAACAAACTTGGCTTGTTGAAGGTCAGTATCAAAATAAAAAAAAAATCTTAAATATCTGAAATATACTGGGTCCTTCAAGTCTTCCTGGCATGTGCATTCAAGGCAAACCTGTAATAAGGAGAACACTTACACAGACCCATGGGTGTTTGAGAGCCTGGTCAGCTGTGATGCGCTTCGCTGGGTTTATCGTCAGCATCTGGTTGATCAAATTCTTGGCTTCGGGAGTCACAGTGTCCCACTCAGGTGATGGGAACTAAAAGAGGAAGAAGGAACAGATAATGAACTGAATAGAAATCTCTTCTACTAGCAGAAGAGATTCTCCCCTGCTACACAGCTAAATTGCAGCCTTTGCCCTTTTGATACCGGGGCTAGCACATTTGTAAAACCCACCAATTTTTGTGAAAACTCATACTGAACAAAAATCATCCAGAATCCAACAAATGAATGGTACCAGAGAGCAGGACACACCTGTACCATTCACCAGACATAAGCAAGAAGATTAAGATTTTAAAAGCCTTTTAGGAATCACTCAGACCTTTGAATTTCTTTCACACTCAACAGTTAAAAAAGTCAAGTCACAGATCTTTTTAACTGAGTTCTTACATGAAAAACACAGGCATTATCTTTTTTTACCCCACCTGTCTCTTTCTACAGCATGCTAAAAGCTCTAACAGCTTATGAAAAATCACAAACAGTTAACTACAGCAAAACTGCATGAAAGCAAAACCCACTAACAGGGAACATCCCATCAGGTACACTTTTCCCACCATAAAACACAATATCCTGGAACAATACCAGTCACTTGGGTGTAGCAACCCACCAGCAAGTTGTTAGCAATGACCTACCATACCAAGATCTTTACTTGGGGGGCAAGAGAGATGTAACAGTGGATGGGAATACAGAAGCATGAAAACAAAGAAAAGAATTTTAAGTATTTCAGCTGCTGATCATCCATGAGGGGTAACTGCTTTCTGCTATAATTCTTGCAATGATAAAGATGGGATATTTACACCATCCTGTAAAGGCTTGCATGTGGTATGGATGACAGCATGCTGAGATTAAATCCTATGAATCTACTGTACAAATACAGGTGAACTTCAGAACACAAATATGCTGTTGGGGTGAAGCTCTCTGTCTTTAAGTGGGAGAAAAAAAATGGATTTATCCTGAAAACATTTCCTTACAGTACTACATAATTTAGAAAAAGTTCATTCCATCTTTTTTTCGCATGCATTTTTATCGCTTTACTCAGCTGGGTCACAACAATAAACCTGCCACATTTGATTTGCATATAATCTCATTTCTGCATTCGCAGGCATTACTAAGGCATTAAACAATTTGTTCTGCAAACATTGCACGAGGATACTCAAAAATCATGATACTGAAGTTTCAAGCAAGGATACTTTTCCCACACCTGAACTCTGAAGTGTTCATGGTAATGTCTTGCAAAACCCCTACGCAACAGCACAAAGTAAAAAGAAAAAAAAATCACTGTTTTTCAAAATCACTGTTTTTTCTGTTGCCATTTTCTGCCTGGTCAAGGAAGAATAACAGACTGGTCTACAGGTCCCTTGGTGGTGGGTAAGGACACCAGAGACATGTGCATCAGTAAAATGCAGCAGAAAATGCAGCAGTTTTCTATCAGGTAAAATAAAATGAGGGAAGAATCTAGTGAAATTTATTCACTATAGATAAGAATTCAAAAACAACAGATAGGCAAGAAGGAATCAAGAACTTCACTCTTCATGACTTACAGAAATAGGTATTTAATCCCTGAAGTGGTTTGAAAATCCCCATTGATATAATTAGTGCAAAAATGCTTCAAATAAGAACAATCAACACAAAAACCAGAGGAGCAGCAAGGCAAGAGAAGAACACAAGTCCATTTAAGGCTATCAGGTACAAAGATATCACTTTGCTTTCACTCAGGAAAGCCACAGAGCCAGGACATAGGCAGACTTTTGCTCTCACCAGTACAGCTGCTCTCATGGTCTCAAGCACAGAAGCTGGGAGGTAACCAGCAGGAGTCCAGCAGAGCCCTCACCTTTTGGGGTTTTATTTTTGTTTAATACAAACCACAAGACAGCCTACAAAAAGAACTCCTCAATTTCCTCTTGATATTCATGCCCACAGGCTTTGAGCTAGGATTTCCAGGAGTTCCTTCTTCCCTCTCAAGCCTCTCCTTACATGGAAGAATTTATGTCAAACATTAAAGCTATGGTACTCAAACTACATTTTATTCCACCTTTGCTTCCCTCAGTACTAACCTCCTTGCTATTTCTCTTTCAGACACCTTTTACACCTCAGTTTTGTCATGCTCTAAGAAGTGTTCCATGATTTGCTTGGCTTTTTACCACAGCCTCCAACCCAATCCACCATGCTGATCCCCACCACAAAGCCACCCTCCAATGGTCCCCCACCATTCAGTCTTCTCAGTGGGCTCCATGCTTTCCATGGACTACGGCACAGAGGAGTAAAAGACCATAATTGAAGCTATTATACTACAGAATACATCCCCATACTTTTGATTAGGCCTTGACAAAGACAAGCTTCTTCATTCTATCTTCCCTCTACTCCACTGAAAATATCAGCATTACTAGAAGACACCATTTCCCACCCTCTGCATTTCCCTAACAAGTATCAATGTTCTAGTGCCCACTGTGATGCTTTCCCTTCATATCCCTTCAGCAGCCCCAGACAGGACTGTATCCCAGGCAGCGAAGACAACGAGGTGTATGAGCACGTCAAAGGTCACTGACAACGAGGTGTATGAGCACATCAAAGGTCACTTTGCACAGAAGCTTGGGCCTGCTGCAGGACGCCAGGTAAGATTGTGCCATGTTTTGGATGGCTTCTACACCCATGCAGGTACTCAGCAAGAAAGTGCCCTTACGTCATAGGCTCCGGCTTTGATCTGCTGATAGAGTTTGTGCTGATCTTCATCCCAAAAGGGAGGGTACCCCACTAGTAATATGTACAGAATCACTCCTGGGAGGGAGAGACACAGATACACTATGGTTAGGCTAATATGCCATTTATTCCTTCAGCCCCTCTTCCTTCCCTTTTGACAGACCCCAAGGCAATGAATGCTTCATGTATTCATTTGCCATCATATTTAGCCTTCTGAGCAAAACACAGTACAAATCTGTCATCTGCTGGACCTCACCCTGGCCCTTCATGTTCAGCTCTTAACGCCAGTGTCAGGAGCTAGAACGAGCTGCATAATATCCTTCTACCCTCCTCTGGCTACCATGGCTGGTGAGCCACAACTCCTAGCTGCTCTCAGAGTAAGATGAAGCCACATCTCTTACGGTTCCTGAGCAGCAAGGGACATTTTCGGAAGGAGTCTGTTTTTAGATGCTTACTGTGCATGGTGTTGGGACAAAAATGACACTGACAAAGCTGACACTCCTGGCCTGCAGAGAACCATTTAGTCCATGTCAGGCAACACTAATATCATAAATCTTTAAACTTATCTGTCCCAGATACATTAACACTTATTTTCTTTTAAAAGAGTCATCCCTCGTCAGTGTTTAATCTTCTACATAGTTAGTGTAATAGGAAATTGCTACAGTTATCTAAACAACTAACTCTGCAAAGCATAGACAGGTCCTATCTCTTGAGTCTCAAATATCTGATAGATGGCCCAAGGAAAAGATTAGGAACCAGAATCAAATGAGTTCAGGCTCCAGTATTCATTCCATCTATACAAGGTGCTTATCCTCAGTTGTGCCTTCATGTCTCCGCCTAATAAGAAGGAGCACTGTGCACCCTCCCAGCAACACAAGGAATCACTCTTTTACATGGAACGATGTTGTTTAAGTGTAAAATATTTTGTTAAATCTTACCACATGCCCATATATCCACTGGTTTTCCATAAGGATCTTTTCTTAAGACTTCAGGGGAGAGGTAGCCTGGAGTACCAGCAAACCCTGCCAGAAAATGGATGACATGAAGTACTTACAGTACCCAAGCAGAAGAGAGCTTGCCATAATCACAAAATCTACTAGTGGTAACTAACAAATTCCAAAACCTGTCTCTTCCACCCTTCATCTCTTATTTGCTAGATCTGCCTCTTCAAAATCCAAAAAAATGAGGCAAGAAAGGCAAGAAATCCCAAAATAAAACAGAAAATCAGATGGGATCCATTGCCTGTGTATTGCAAGAAAAACAGGCAAGTAAGAGGGACCACGTCAACCAACCGAGCACAAACTTGTATGCCAGGCCTTATATAATTGTTACATATAATGGCTTGGAGTTTGAAAACACAAGACACAGATGGGACACACCTGATTGCCAAGTGGTATGGGGAGACCAGAAGAAGAAGTCATTTTTCCAGAATCCCTGCAGCATTGCAGAGTATCAGAACTGATTTTTAGCCTGAAAAGGTCTTATTTCTAATTATGTTTTAGCTAAACAAATATAAGGTCAGATCCAAATGTGCCTGAGGAAGGCTAGGTCAAATGCATTTCTGTAAAGTGACCAAACAAAACTCCAGATGTCTACACTTCTGAGCAGTAGGAAAGTTCAGATCAGGGTCTAAACTTAGCAGCTGCATTCATCTCTGACACTGGCATCTACCATAAACTGAGAAGAAAAACAGAGAAACACATAGCCATTTTTTCTGTCTTTCTTTATTAGTTTTTCCTCTATTGCACCTAGGCTTGAGCCTAAGACCCAGAGAATGTCATGCTTGGCAAAGAAACAGCCAAATACAGAGAAGTGTGCTGGAAGAGCTGAGAGAAAGTACTCAGGAGGGTGCAACTCAACCAGCCACCAGAAAACAGGAGAGCAAAGCTGGGAAAGCTCAAACAGTCTTACCAAACCAGGCCTGCTGCTCTCCCTGGACTTCTATAGCCAGTCCGAAGTCAGCCAGTTTGACAGCAGCACCCTTACATTTACTCGCTAGTAGTAAATTCTCAGGCTGAGGAGAAGAAAGAAAAAAGAGAGTAAGAATGAAAGAGTGACATCCTTGTTAAAACATCTAGTATTCACATTACTAAACTGCACCTGCTGACTGGAGTTAGCATGCAGTACTAAACTGTTCACATGAAGATCCAGCAACAGCAACAAATGGCCTTTATCTAGAGTGGCAGAAATTTGTCAGTCTAACACAAATCCTCTGGCTCCTCCGTGGGAGACAGAGCCTCTTCCAACCCAGCCCATACATTACATGCTGACACCAGAGGGCACTGGCAGTACAGTTCCTGCAGCACTTAAGCCAAAATTCTATTCTGCCCTTCTCAAAGAGGATAACTGGGGGGAGGGGAAAGGGAAGTGGGGGAAGAAGGGAGGGACAATGCAGGAGATACAATCTGCAGTGATGTTTCTCCCCTTGAATATTAGACAGTCCCCAAGGCACTGAAAAAGTAAATATGATGCTAATAAGGGCTGCCAAACACGCTGCTGTAATGTGGGAAGGCATCATCTGGCTAGGCAGTAGTTTTCATCCCTTACAGAAAAAGCCTCAGCCTCAAACTGGCATAAGCAGCACAGCAGTGAGTATTCTTGTAAGCAATTTTTTCATGCTAGGCATTTACAGCAGCATAAAATATTCTGTCTTGCTACTGCTGCCATCACCTATACAAGAAGCAACCATGTCACTTTTTCCATGTGCCAGGAAAGAGAGACACTTTTGACCCTCATATTTCCACCTTGAATGAATCTCACTCATAATTCTGTTGTGTTCCAGCAGAGGACTTCAGCAGAAGATTTTACACAGATCCAAAAAGTGGACTGAGAATTGGCAGCTTCCTCTGAAGCACCAGAGCAGCTCTATCTACATGGGACCCCTTCAAACCTCAAAGCCTTTAAGGTGATATCTATTATGGCTTTGCAGGAAAATCAACTTGAGGATAGGCAGGTCAAACGGTGGTTTCTCATCCTATCCTCTTCTCATCTTTTATGCAATTCTCTATCAAGCTGATTTTTTAACTGAGCATGATAGATACCTGGAAATCCAGAAACAGGAGCTTTCTCGTCTCAAAAATTGATAAGGGTCTTTTTTGCGGCCTATTTTCACCGCATAGCAACTCTTTACCCCTGTTCTGCCTGACAGGCACAAGATGCTTTGCTCACTCATCTGTCCTAAAGCACTGGGCATGTGCCTACTTCTTCCTTGAATGAAAGGAGAAAAGCCTTCCTCAATACAGCCCTTGCCATAAGCAGCATGGAAGGAAGGATAGCTGGGTCTCAATACATTTGGATGCCACTGGCTTTTCACTATATGGCAAGAAGAAAAGATTGTGGTAATCAGGCAACACTAATGAAAATTCACCACTATAAACAAGACCCTAAGCAGAAGATCAATTAAATATTCTGAAACTCCAGAGGGCACCTAGGCTTAGCTTGACTAAGAGCAACATTTAAGACAGACTTGTGCTAGTTAAGCACTTTGTACCTCTATTTTAGAAGCAAACACCTTAAGGCTAATGGTGCTTTTCCATGTGCATGTCTGCCAAAATATGGGTTGTTTCAGGATTCACATACTTTTTGGTGAGGATGTGAATGCACTCCCTAATTTCTTACAATCCCTATAGGCAGCTCAACATTTGACATTCATTAATAGCATGTCAGCCAAAAGACAGGCTTATGAGAGTGAGGTGCAAAAGGCAAAACTTTACTTGAAGCAGGCTCTGCAGTTATTACACACTGACCCTGAAGGCCAAGCTTTTGGAGAGGAGCTAAATATTCAATAAAAAGCATAGGAACTTTCATTGCTAAAAGGAATGGTTACTCCTCAGGCCTGGATAGTTTCAGTCAATCAGAGAAAGCAACAGAAGAAGCATGTTAACTACAGTGGGAGTGTCTAGAAGCTGATAAATTCTGAAGAAGTTGCTAGCTTTCCTACAAACAAAACTTCTGGAAGGAAACCAGATTATATTTGAACACAACGAAAGCGTCTTCTGTACTGGAAAACATTATTGATTTTCATAGACTCCCTAATTTTGGGCACTAGTCCCTCTTGGATGTTGCTTTCTCAGGAGCTGGTTTTGGATCTAATCAGGAGCAGCCACAGTCCACAGCAGACCATTAGCATATTTTCACAGTGTAGTGAAGTAGAAGGTCAAAAGTGTTGCATGGGATTTTATCAGAAACACAAAGGATTATCCCCTAGATCAAAACACCAGAGGAACACTGTCACCAAGCTTGCAATGTGCTTTTACCTTGCTCTCTGCAAAATATTTTTCTACTTTCCCCCTCGTACATTGTTTAACAAGCCCAAACCAACACTAGCAGCAGGTGTCATCCTGCATTAATTTAACTGGACTGTTGGTGACCATCACCATTGCCACTTTAGACACAGAAGGCTCCAAGGCACGCAGACTTTCCCGCACAAATCTCTTCATTTTGGAGCCTGCCCAGCTCCCAGAACAGCTGCCCAGTTTGGGGAGTTTAGGTGACTCTACTGCGGAGGCTTAGGGGCTAAAAATGTGTTATAATGCATCAAATTATGGATTCATCCTGTCTTTAACTGGCCAGCAGTTTTGGTTTTAGATTAAAAGTGCTTCTACTGATGAGAGAAGAAAGAAATAACACAAAAATTCCTTGTTGAACATCTCTGCCTTAGTGCAGTGGTATTTGGCAAGACTGCAGAACAAAAATATACATGCTTTGTGCAGACAAACTCATCCTGGCAGATTGAACAAAGATTGCTCCAGGTCTCTAGAGATCTCTTCAATCACAAACTAGAAAGTGTCCTTCATTATAATGAATCCTACCCAAGTTTCTCTGGAAGCATACTTCTCTCCAAGATTCACAACTACCACATCCTGGAGCTGCCTCAGAGAGTCTGAGAGCTGGCAAGCTTCACAAAGACTGAAAACTTCCTTGGGAGTTCAGCACACCCTCTAGCCCTCTAGAAAACTCTGAAGAAGCAAATTTGTGCTTCAGGAGCCCCTGAACCCAGTTCAAGTGAAAAAAAAAAGAAAACCAAAAAAACACAACAAAACCAAACCCAAAAAAAGCCCACACAAAAATCCCTGCTGGCAACACAATATTCCTGTCTTGCCTTTTCCAAAGATCCCCTGGCTGCTCTCCTCAGACTACAGCACAGAGGAAACATTACCTTCAAGTCCCTGTGCACAATATCATGCTGGTGAATGTGATTCACACTCTCCAGTATCTGATGAATACAGTGGCTGCAAGATAAAAGGGAGAGACACACAAAGTTACGCATACACATTTAACATCTCATCTTATCCCAGAACTAATTCCCTAATTTTTATATTTGTACTACAGGGCACTCAAGATCTCATGCTGAATCTCTTCCTCATGACCAGTGGATGCCACAGCTCAGCACCATCACAGCTGAACGACCCCAGCACACCAGTAACAGGATACCAAACATCCTTTCTGTAGCAGGACCACAAAGCCTCTCTCCTACATCCCATCATTTCCTTTCTTCTCTTCCCATCATGCTAAGCCTCTCGCTCGTTCCTTCAGCCAGCAGTGCCCACCCCACACAAAACAATCAAGGCATCCAAGTATCTTCAAACAGCAGTCGAAATTGTGCAAGCAAGACCAAATTACTCCAGGAAGCATTCCACTGGGCTAGTCCTGAGCAAAGAATAAACTTTGGGAGAGCAGCAGCCTCCTCCAGAAAATTCAGGATGACGACGCCTGGGTGCCTGCCAGTTTGCAAAGCTTTCAGAGCAGCATCTCAAGCACTTTATATACACAATGTGCACACACACCCGCTTGCTGGGTGCCTTTTAAGTACAGATCCCACTTAAGGGGTTAGTAATCTGAAAAGCAGACTCATTCCGTTAAGTGCAGCGTGCTGCACTCCCCCAGCTCACACAAAACCCTGTCTCTGCCATTCCCACTGCTGTAAACCACAGGGACAAAAACAAGATGTTATTTACACCTATCGCATAACAACAGCACAATTAACCCATGGGTGAGATTCCAGGTTGGAACCATCTCTTCCACTAAACATTTACTTGGCTCCCAAGGGTGAATGTGGAACTGAATAAGGATTTTGACAACTATGGCTGGGCAGTAAGCATCCTCACTGTAGGATCTATCAGATCTTCATTGACTTCTACAAATCTCAGAGGAACGAATTTTAAATGAGTGAAGTATCTGAGGAAAGGAAAAAAGGCTACAGGAAAAGATGGGAAGAGGGTGAGGAGAGGAAGAGAAGAGAAGAGGAGGTTCAGCACTGTGTATTTGCTACCCCCACCCATCTGGAGCTGGCAGTACGATCCTCAGGGTCGGAATCCATGAAAATCTCCCTGCTCCCAAAACAAAAATGTATAATTAGAACAGAGCTGAGTCTGAGCGAGGGAGATTTTCTGGCCAAAAATGGCAAAAGTGTGAGGTGTCCCAGGCGAGCCAAACACGGCAGATTGGCACAGACCTCGCTCCCTCGCTCTCTCAGACTGCTCTGGAATTCAGCACAGCATGGGGAGAGAAAGGGAGGAGTTTCACTCTTGTCATCTTGTGGGCACTTGGAGACCTGACCAGCTGACAGTCAGAGGGCTGAGCACCCTAAGGAGGGCTTACAGAGCAACAGACAGTCCTCCTTTTCCCCTAACCCTGCCATAATTTTCCTGAGCAGTGTCAGTCACTGACAGCTTTTGAGCACTTGAGGGAACAGGCACTGGCAAGAGGAACAGGGGAAGGATTGTGATTGATAACCTCAAAACCTCCCAACTTCAAGGCAGAGTGGCATGACTGTGTAACCATCTGACATGCTGTGCCTGCAAGATCTGTACACCCCACTGAAAACATCTATGGGGTTCTCAGACCTCTCTGCCAGGAGCTCCAGCAGAGCTGATGAGTTCACTGGCCTTTCCAATCACCAGAGAGCTCCTGGCAGAGGATGCAGGGCAGTGCCTCATTTGAAAGCCTGCAATGACCAGAAGACACACAGTGTAAGTGAACCACAGGGAAAGCAAATAAGTGCCTGCAGACTCCATTAGCAGTACCTTCACCAACACCCCAGGTCACGCTCTCTTTTCCTCTGCGCACTCAGTATCATTGTCCTTAAAGTACTGCCTATCAAACTCAACCTGCCACAGTACCTGCTACTTCCTTCTGACTCCTCTCTTCTCATGGCTCTCCTGATTTCTGCTTCAGCAAGGGTTAGTATGGGATAAGAACGTGACTGGGTATTCAGTGCAGAGTGAAATGTCACACCACTGGGCCACTCCGAGACCATGCAAAAGCAGAACAGGAGTGGCCTAATCCCAGCTTTGATTCCAGATGCTGCATGTCCAGCAGATGGATGGGTCAGACAACATCCTCAGCTACTGCTGCACATAACATCCACCCTGTATAAACAGGGACATGCACCTGCCACTTAGGAAACTCACATACGGGAGAGAGGGGACACATTCAGGAACAGAAGGGCATAACTCTAAATCTTTTTAACATTGAAATATGGAGGTTGCTCTCTCATGTTGTGCCTTCTGTCACTGCACTGACCAGCTCACAGTCAGAGAGGGCTTCCACAGAAACACAGCCTTCAAAGCCCCCTCTCCTCACTGCCCTGCAAACATTACCTAGACACAGGAGAATTGAATGGATCTGCCCAACAGCAGTGGCACATCACTGGAAACCCTGCTAGAAGAAGGAGGCCAAGCAGGCAACACCCTCACAGCTCTCCTTTATGTTTGCATAGTAAGGACACATTGTCACCACCCACCAAAGAGGCCAGGTAGACAAAGCTGCTAGCAGTGGCTCTCCCAGCAGAGCACAGCATCTGCAAGTGGCAGAGACAGCAATGTCTGCAAGTGGGCAAGGGCTAGAGCTATCTGGTGACAATTAGGTTGCTGCTGGTGGCAAAAAGAGGATTTGTTTTATCCAGACAAGGGGCAAGAGTGTTAGAACAAAGCACACAGATCAGAAAACTCATTCCTCTGGTACATGTACGTGGACACACATGCAAGGATCTAGAAGCAGTCTTACCTGGCATCTGCTTCACTGTAGTATTCTCTAGCAACAATATCTTCAAAGAGCTCCCCACCAGTAACCCTGGAGTGCAAAAGAAGAAAGGATGTTATAAAGCCCATGCTTGTGCAGTTAAAGGATGTATACGGCCACCCATCTGGGCCCTTTGCCACAGCCTGCATGGGATACTGCCTTACAGGTGAACAAGGGCAGAGCTCCATCACCATGGCACCAGCACTGCTATATCCACACGACTGAGCCTTTGGACTGCCTTTGCACCAGCAGTGTACAGGACACTGTTGACACACTGTGCACGAATTGCCCACACACCTCTGCTGAGCATAGTGCATGCTGAGCTTGGGAAGGACAGCCCTCCTCTGACTCCTGTTGGGCTGCCTCAGAGACAAAAATCAGTCTCCATACACAGGACAGACGTTCTTTGCCATCCCACACTTACACCTGGTGCCAGGAGCTTTCTTGGGTCTGTCCCCACCACACAGCCAATGGATTTTTGTCAAATAGGCCAGAGGTATTTACAGGTCTCAAAAGAGAAAGGGAGAATGATACTAATGCAGGTACTTTTTATTCCATTCTTAGTAAACCACCAACGTGCCTGCATCACTGGTGAAGCATCAGAGACAGACACTTACAGATCAAAGACGAGGTAATGGAAACCTTCTTCTGAAATACTGTCATGGAGTCGCACTGCAAAAACAATCAAGAATTGGAGATTTACAGAGCATGTAGCAAATATGACACTTCACAAATCAAACTCATGCACACAACTAAGTTCCCCTTCAACCCACTCAGTCTATTAATTCCCCATGCCCTTTACTCTGTGTGCTCCCTTAGTGACCTATTTTCTTCTGTTATCTCAAAGGAACAGATGGGTGTCCTGCACATACATTCACCCCTCTCCAGCGACAAATCAAGCTCTGAGTATTTTTGATCTCCTGTTCATTCTTCCTCTCTAATGTTTCAGTACCCTCCTTTCATATCTGCCAACTTTTTCCTTCATGCTCATATTTTGGCATCTCTCCCAATCCATTATTTCCTAAAACAAACCTTTTCCTAGTCCTGAAACAAGCCCTCAATCCATAAATTGACTTCTGACTCTACCTGCACGTCAGTACCACTGGTCTCCTTTCTGCCATTTATCTGTAAGGCTCAACGATGTTCTCTTCTGTTATTTCTTTTTCCTCACTTCATTCTGACTTACACTAACTTACCCAAAATTCAAAACCAGTTTCTTGTCTCATTTTTCTGACCTGCTTGTTTCCGAAGACATATTCGATCACATTCTGCTTCTCAAAATTTCATCCACTTCAGCTATCCCTCCTTAATTCTGCTCCTATTATCTAAATTAACTTTCATCTTTTAATGTTCCATGTCCCAGGCTCATGATGGGCCACTATCTCCTGATATTTTGGGATCTCTGAGGTTCTGTTCTCCTTTCCCCATGTTACACATGGGCAATAACTTGTATCTCTGCATTCAGCACAATGTCATTTCCCCTTGTCTGCATCAAAATCTCTTGTCTGAATCAATCTCTCAAAATTTTTTTGACCATTCTTGGATACCTAGGCACTATTGTAACCCAAAAGGAGAAACTTCATATGGCTACAGAAACCATACTTTTTGCTTTTTTCCTCTGCTGCAGAACATCACTCTTCCCTGCCAATCAGTCACAAGTTAGCAATTCTCTTTCACTCAATTCCTAAGCCTTCACATCCTGACTAGAACAAGATGTCTTCTTCATGTGACCATCTATAATCTTTGCTTATTGATTCACCCAAGTAAAGCAACTAGCTGAGACAAGACTGGGTCTCTGTCACTTTAACACCTTGTAATTGAGTATTGACCAAAGTAGTGTTGACCGTTCTTATTGTTACAAGAAAAATCTCATTATCCTGTTCTATCACTCCAATGGTACTTTTGCCTCTCTTCCCTATCTTCCACTCTGTTGCACATACAGCGCAGATGACCTTCCTTGATTTTCCCAGCATCATGATTTTCTCTCTGTCAGTATCAAGAAGTCAGTTTGCACCTCTTATCAGTAGACAACATCAGCTACCATCATCACTGTCTTGGGAAGGTTTCAAACTAGCACTGGGCACATATGGAACAGCTTTTGCACATGTTGTCAGTGTTCTTCTTTACTCCTCCTTCCAACTTTCCTTTGTTCAGGCACCCTTCCATGTGCATGCAAACACACTCAAACCCAGAAGAACGAGTAGCACAGATGTGCAGAGATCACTGCCAGTACCCTTCCTCAAAGAATTTACTTCTTTCCTACTTCTTTTTGCCTGTTGATTCCCATATTTTTTCTCCCTTTATCTAAAAGCTCTCTGACCTGGTCCCTTGGCCAGTCTCCTTTCCTTGGCATTTCTACTGCATATCTAACTGCAGGGGTTTGGGAGGAGCACTCCACCCAGCAAAATGCTGCGAACAAGCCAGTACAGCATTCAGGTGCAACATGCTGTTCCTAATGTGTGAGAACAGACACATCACCCTGACCAGCTATGTCCTGTAAATCACTTGCTGCAAACAAAAAGTTCTTCCAAGTAAGCAGTTTTAGTAGGGTTTGTAGTAACTTTATTGTAACACAAATTTGTGTTTACAAGAAAACTTGCCTCCCGAGCACTTGGCAGAAAGCAGCAGAAGCGGCATTACAAAAACACAAGTGAGAAGAAAGGTATTTCCCAGAAGAGAAGATTTCCATTCAAGATTGGAAACAGGATGGAAAACAGCTGAAAAAGACACTTGGATTTCCAGTGCAGGGCAGTTTTCACTCCAGTGAAGACTGCTTGAGGTGAAACTAGGACAAAAGCACATGAACAAGAGCTGAAACCCAGAACACAGGCAAAAGTCTGCCGAGAGATGTTATGAACAGATGGAGAAACTTCAAGGAAAGCTGACTACACCAACAAGGTCATGTTTGGTGATGCACAGTGGGCACGAAGAAGCATTCTCCTTCCTCTGGCACCTGAATGGTCACCAAAGCACTGCAAGAAACACCAAGCACAGAGGGGAGTGGCATGAGTGATATCACAATGGAGGAGCAAGCCACCAGCATGCTGAGAACAGTGGCCTTGAACATGTGAACATGTTGGCAGGTAGAAGTGAGGAACAGTGAATGATAAACTTTGATGCAAAGATTCGGGCAGCAAATTACATCAGAAAATAAAACACAAATGAGCTGATTGGTGCTATTCCTTTGTCCCGAGGAAAGCAATTTTGTCAGCTACATTATCAAAAGGGAAGGAAGTAGCAATTCAGCTGGCAGAGACTGGCAGAGGCAGCAAAAAGAGCCTTCAAGGACAGTAAAACACTACTTGCATCCTTAGGTAAGGAACCATGACAAGATGACAGAGACAGTTCATAATAACTGACATTGTGCAACACCCTGGGGCTGCAAGCAAAAGAAGGCCTTGAAGGCAGGACACAGGTCATTAACTTAACAAGGGAGCTGCCTCCTCACAACAGCCCACAATGATGCTGGAACAAAATCTGCCTGGGACTTCATCTGCTGAGGTAATGAAGCTCAGGGAGTAATGGTAGAATAGCAAAATCCAGAAAAGTTGTAGGAAAAATTACACTGGGCACCACCACTTTGCACAGGAATGAGTGACAGCTCAGAATAGTAGGCTTTAAGTGTGGAGTGGGACAGCAATAAGGGGAGTCAAAAAGGATCAAAACAAAAGTCTGAATATACCAAAACTCTCGTGACTCTCAGTTCCAACCCTAACTTCATACTGATGCAAAGAAAAAAAAGCAATGCACAATAGCAGAACAGAAATAAAATCTAGTGTCCTTTCACCCTAAACTTTTGCTTACCTACCCTCCTGCAGAGCCACAAGAGCTTTCCTGACTAGCAAGGAGCCTGCAATGGACAGCTCTGAGGCCATGGTTCACTCTGCTGACATGCAAAGTTAAAATGACTTAAAGTGCTAACATCCCAAACTAAAGGATGATTAGCTTAAAAACATGACCTGCCTTTTCTAAAACTATTCAGCTATCCATGAAAGGGAATACATTCAGAAGTAACTGAATGATAAACATTTTAAAAGTTTCTGTGCCTCCTCTCCACTTTGGTGGTTCACAAATATGATCCACATTGTGTGAGTATTCACCATGAAGATACACAAACATCAGAAAACATCTGATACCTTCACCATCCAGACAGTATAGAGCCCTCTCTGCTTAAAGATAACCTGTGCAATGTCCTCCACCTGGAGGCAAAACACAGGTTCCCAAACAGCCCAGTTCCAATGGCCCAAATGCCAGTTCCAAGAGCAAAACTCAAGTACTGGGCTTTCTCCTCCTCCTCTGTTTCAAACATCTTCCCATGAAAAGAGGATCCTGTTTGTTCCACAGGCTGCTGGTCCTGACACACTGTCTAACAGCTCCTTTTCTACCACAAGTTCAGCTTTAACACAGTGGTTGAGCAGAGCCCACAAAAGCTGCACATATCTGTATAACCTGTTGACAGAGGTTACAGGAGAGTGAAAAATATAATTATATGGAGACAATGGAGGGCAAAGTACTCCCGAAACCTGATTATCCATAATAAGAAAAACAGAGAAATAAAACCAAAAGTATTCATCCAGTTAAACTTTTCTTCAAAAATATTACAACACTCTTTTTTTCTTTTTCTCTCATCAGGGGACAGTGATGCATGTGTCTAGCATGGTAGGCTAGACAAATGCACACATCACAAAAGGAGCCTCAAGCTGCATCAAGAGGGAAGTTGCACAACAGTAACCGAGTGTCTTTCAAAATACAACCAAACTAAAAAGTGATCAGTATTTTCCAAGGAAGCTCATCTCACTCTATTTACCAGAAGACGAGGTGGATTATTTCTATTAGCTGATTCTCTTACCAAGAAGCAGCAATTCAAACTGTATTTCCTTCCTAGCCAAGCACTTTTAACACAGGGATTCTTTTAGATATAGGAAATTAGACCCTGCCAACACCACTCACAGCTAGAGTCACCTGATGACTCTTCCCATTCAAAGATCTCTGATGGATGTACTACAATGATTAGGTTCACAAGAACAGACACAGAGGGGAGTAGGAAAGAAAACAGAAGCAAGTCAGACAACAAGGCACTAAATCAATTACAGGATATGGTGAAAGACTTCACCTAAAGTTTTATTCAGGAGAAAAAAAAAAGGTCCCATCCACACATAAAAACAAAGAGGTTTTGTAGAGTTCAAAAACACATCTAATTTTGTAAGACTGACAAGTCTTACAGATAACTTTCGAAATAATACCTAAAAAACCACAGAGCACTAGCAAGCACTGCCAGAACAAATGCTGTCCAAGGGAGCAGCATCAATTACAGACTGGTAGGTAGAAAGCTTTCCAACAAAACCAGCTGCTCAGTCAGGAGAAAGTGTGCATCACCACTTGGATGATATTGCCAAGAAACACATAGATTTTGGGAGGAATAAGCAGTGGTTTCAATACAGCATCTTGATGAAACTATGTTTTCAGCAAGCCACAAAGAAAGCCTAATGGGTTATTTTAAGTATCTCCTGAATCTGGTACTGCAAGGGTTTGCTATTCAAAGCCGCCCCTCCAATTTTAAATGCACACACATAACTGCACTGTAAAGAGCTGTGAGACACACACAAGACACAACCTAGCTAACTGCTCTAAGCATCCTTTTCTTCCCTCAGTCTTCTCTCCAGGCTCATCCT